CTCTGTGGTTCCAGCGAGGCTGGCCAAATGGCAATAAAATGCTCAGAGGACATCACAGAGAGAAAGTGAGAGAGAGAGAGAGAGAGAGAAAGCAAGAGTGGGAACCTGTTTGTTGACCTGCATCATGCCTCTAAGAGTAGATTGGATCTGTGTAGAAGAGAACGGACTGATTCTCACTCTTAGAGCTCCTCTATACACATAGCACACTGTAATCTACCATTACGTTCTCTGTCTCTGTGCAGTTTGTCTGAGCAGCAGTGGAACAGGCAATGCAGACCAACTGCGTCGGCCTGTCAAGAGTTGTTTTGACTGAGAGCAATGGAGCACTCTTTCTCCCTTACTCTCTTACTCAATACCATGCAGACGCCAGGGATGAAGCAGTTAGAGCACAGAGAACAAGGCCACATCACTCCACTGACAAGTACAGGAAAATACATTCGGACTAGAAGGCTCATGAATGCTGTATGTCACTGTTTTTTAAACATTTTACCAACGAACCCATATTTGTTAAATGAGACTTAAACATATCAATTGGCTTCTCATTGTTTACTTGATTTGTTTATATAGCACTGCAAAAATTCTAGGCACCTGAGAAATTTTAGCTGATACATTATGTATATAGTGCAGTGAAGTGCAGTGAAAAAAATACAAAATGCGTTTGTTCAAAATTACTATTTTAATTATTTAAGGAGCGAAGAGATCCAAGTTGTTGCATGCTCCTTAGCAGCAATAACGGCAACCAGCAATTTCCCATAATTTGATATTTTCAGTTCACGCTGTTATGGAATCCACTCTTCTTTGCAGAACTGCTTTAATTCAGACATATTTTTTTTTCAAGCATGAACTGCCTGTTCAAGGCCCAGCCACAGCACCTCTATTGGGTTCAAAACAGGACCTTGGCCATTCATTAAATAACATTATTATTATTTTTTTTTTTTCAGCCATTCAGATGTGGATTTGCTTTTCTGCTTTGAATCAGTGTCGTTCTGTATAACCTGATTATGTTTCAGCTTCTGCTCATGGACAGATGAACAGACACTTTCCTTAAGAATTATCTGATCCAGAACAGAATTCCTGGTTCCATGCAAGTTGTCCAGGTCTCAAGGCAGCATGGCAGCATGATGTTTCCAGTGTGAAATGCATAAAAAGAGACCAGGATATAAAGGGGCCTATCCACACTTCTGACTGGTCTGTCCGTATGACATTATCCTAAAACACTGAGGGATTGTGTTTTGTTTTTGTGTGATTGTGTTTCCAGGTGTTTTCTTTTTTTTTTTTCGCAAATTTGAGTTGAGTCCTGATGTTTCTTTTGGTTAGCAGTGATTTCTGCCTTCCTTGCACTTCCATGAATTCCATTTTGGCCAGTCTCTTTCTTACTGTGGAATCATGTGCACTGAACCTTCGGTGATTTCCTGGATGATTTGCCTTTGCCTTTTGGGATAATATTTTGTGGACTAATAAGTCAAAGTTAGTGCTAACACCGCATTCCACCATAGGACTACCATACCAACAGTCAAACATGGTGGTGGTAGTGTGATGGTCTGGGGCTGCTTTGCTTCTCCAGGATGCAGGAAGGAAGACTTGTCATAAATGATGGAGCCATGAATTCTGCTCTCTATCAGGAAATCCTGAAGGAGAATTTAAACCTGTCAGTTTGTGATCTAAAGCTCAAGTGCAGTTGGGTTATGCAGCAGGATAGTGGTCCAAAGCAGACAAGCAAGCCAACCTCTCAGTGGCTCAAAAGAAACAAATTTAACGTTTTGAAGTGGCCAAGTCCTGACCTAAATTCTATTGAGATGCTCTGCTTGAGATGCAAGACCATAAAGTGGCAGTTCATGCTCAAAAACCCTCCAATGTAGCTGAATTAAAACAATTGTGCAAAGAAGAGTGGGCAAAATACCTCCCTGGCGATGTAAAAGACTCATTGCAAGTTGCTGCAAAAAATTTACTGAAATTGTTACTACCAGTGGTGGCACAAGCAGTCATTAGGTTTAGAGGGGCAGTTACTTTTTCACATAGGTGATATAGGTTTATCTTTAATAAATGGAACGATTGTTTTAAAGCTGTGTTTTGTGTGCACAAAATCAAAGAATATATACAGCTTACACAGAACACAAAGTATAGCCAGATGCTTTTTGTTTTTTTCTAAACTACCCCGACCCACAAGAAGGTTTTGACCCCAGGTTTGAAAACCAGAGCTATATTAGAATCTATAACATTATAGAACTGGAACATGAAATATTCATACATCAGCATCATCAGCTATTGAAAACATAACATCATATAAATTACTGTAGTCAGGGCTGCATATGTTCTTGCATTCTGCAAAAAAAAGCTTAATGTAATTCTTGTTTTATTCCTTAGCTGCACGCTCCAACTGAGCATTCCACTGAAGAAATGTTGTGAGGAGGCGTCCTGCAGAATGACAGAACTGCCAAAGTGCCCCTGTGCTGTACAGAAGGGTGCGGCTGACAATGACCTCACCACTCCACATTTTATACAGCAAGAGAAAGGCCTGTAAAGCCAGCACAAACAGCCTTACCCGAGTGAGAGAGAGAGAAAGAGAGAGAGAGAGAGAGAGAGAGAAAAAGACGCCCTACTTATCTTCCAAACAGCTGCAGGCTTTCAGAGAGTTAAATCTGTGAACTTTATTTACTTGGGTGTTGCCCTGTGAGGCCACAGTGCACTGTTAGGAAACCCACAGATGGGATACTGGAAGTGTAATAGCTGATAATGACATCAGATGGCACAAGAAGGATAGTAGTAGCTCTTTCTAAGTATCTCAGCATAAGAAAAGTTAACAGCAGCAGGTATGCAGTTAGACAGATTATATGAACAGCATGCAAATGATGCGGTGGCCATTTACCTCCGTTATGTCCAGTGTAATGTCAGTAAATTAGGAGAAAGTTTTTTTGTCTAAAAAAACACAATAAATAAGTAATTAGATTTTGTGTGGAAGCTCATTAATGTTAATAACACTTATTGGTAAAACAGAGTCCCTCACAAACCTGCTTTAATTGTACCCTCACAAACTTTTTATTGCTCAATAATGAGTCATGATCACTTATAATAGTGAACTTTCACACTATGATTTAACAGCATGAAACTGTGTGCATTGGCTAAGCGTGAAAAGCTAGTTCTTTAAAAAAGAGCTCTCACTCTCAATGTGTACATTTAAAGAGGAAAGCAACCCTGCTAAAAAAGACCATTAAAACCATTAGGATTAAAACCTAATGGATTAGCTTTCTAATGGGAATTGGCTTGTTTACCACCAGAGACCACCAGTTTCCTGTAGGACATCTTTAAATCACATTAGGAAACCATCAAATGCATCTGAAATCAGTCGGAGGTCACCTATTAGGCCACAAAAAGCCCAAACACATTGCAAAACCACCAAGAACCGACAGAAACACTTACAGGAGAACTTTTTTCCAAATTTCAACATAATTAAATGGTTAAGATGTAAACAAAGTTATTCAGAGTGGTTTGGTGTAAAATGCTTTGTTCTAGAAAAACGTACAGAGTCAGAATTGTTCACAGCAATGGTGATAGGAACCAAATGTCCACCTCTGAAAGCTCCCTCACAGAAGGTTATTACATGACATGGTTATGAGTACTCAGTGTGCTGTCTGCGACAATGAGTGTGTTTGCGTGCACTCAATAATCTGATCATAATCAGATTTCTGCAGTTATCTGATTATTCAAATGGTCATGTAAACAGCATACTCTGATTTCTTAGAGTATGGTCTAGAAATCTGATTAAGAAATCTGATAAAGAGAGCTGGTTTTTAGCTCAGTTATCAGATTTCTCAGTGCATGTAAACTCTTACCCGGATTTCTTTCAGATTTCTCAGTCTGCGCATATGTGAAACAGACTGCGGTACCGTAAATAAGCAAACAGCGTTGTTGCGAGACAGCAGCAAAACACTTTTGGAGTGACGCTGAAACCAACTACATGCTTGATGAAATGAAGAATTTAAATATTCTTCATCTTCTAGTACGATGAAGATGTATGTGCATATTTTCAGGCAAAGTTCAGGATGTTAAGCCGCAGCATGAACTTTAAGTTTTACATTGTGTTTATATCACGTTTCCTCTGTGAGTTTATTGGCCCGTTGCAAAGCAGAAATCCGATCACTGTCTGACTCATGTAGACCTGGAGTTTTCACATTACTCAAGTGCATGTAAACACATTGATTGGATTACTGACAAAATCTGATTTTCTGCAGTTATCAGATTATTAAGTGCATTTAAACGCACTCACTGTTTTACGGTAGTTTTGTGATAATGCTTTGGCCTAAAACATATTATAATCTATTTATTTTAATCTATTCATGGTGGATACATGAGGGGTCTTCTAAGGCAAAATAGTCCCCACAGAAAAAGGTTTACTGGTTTAAAATAGATTTGTGTGGTAGACATTTCAGCCCCTGGTTCCTATCACCACCACTGTAAAGGAATCGGAGTCGGTAAGTTTCACTACAAATTAACTATTTCACATCAAATCACTCTGAACGTTTTATGCATTATGTATGAATTATGCAGACATTTCGAAAAATCAGTGGAATTCCCCTTTAATGGCTTCTATGTTGTTGTTTTTTTCAGCAGGAAACGTCAATGATCTCCAAAGGCCTCTTCAAAGAAATGGCTAGAACATGTTCAAAACTCTGGGGTGTGATTTAAAGCCAAAAACAGGGAACAGGTTGGTTTAGAATAAAAAAAATCACAAAAATGACACAAAAAAGACAGATTACAGAAAATGAAATAGGGATGGCAGAAATAAATCCTTTAAATAAATAATAATAAAAAAGCAAGACAAAAAGTAAACAAAGAAGAAGAGTTATGAGGCATTCAAAAGGTCAACATAAATCTGAACTGTTTCTAGACACTAATCACTGTTTTGGGGACGAGCAGGAGAACTCTGATGCAACTTCCGGGCTCGTGTTGTGGGGGGGCGGGTAGAAGGGGCAGTAAGTGGGGTTTGGCTAGAGTTCGGGGGGCATGGCTACCGGCGTCATTTGATCCTGCCTCTGGCTCTTTAAAGGAATGAAGGATGAACTTAGTGAATGGGGACCAGGAACTGTGTTCTGTGGACGAGAGAACATTAAACGAGCGCGAGCGAGAATGAGCGCCTCGCAGCAGCAGGTCGCGTTCAGAAAGCAGCGCGAGTGAGAGTGAAAGGGTGAGAAAGTGAAGGAGCTCGGAGGTCTCAGCCCTGCAGCCGCGATGTGATGATGTGCCGGCTGGAGAAGCGGAGCGAGAGCGAATAGAGAAAGGACAGTCGTAAGGTAGGTAACGCTAAATCAGTGTTTTCACTCCACATGACTGCAGACACGACGAGGTCGGAGGAGTAATGACGCGTGTCTGCAGAGTTTGCTATGTTACAACACACAGTGTTTAGTGCTTTTGTATGGACTTCGCTTTTTTTAGCCACGAAGTTCGGAGAGCGAAGGGGCAGGCAGCAGACTGTAGCTTTAGCTGGGATGAGCTGATTAGTCAGACTGTGTGTGGAGGAGCTCAGCTTGTGTGGGGCACACACCTGTGTGGAGTGACCGTTTTTGGACAAAATGAATGGCAGGAATGGCAGGAGCCGCAGTGGAAGAGCTGCTCCATCCTTGCGCATGCATGCACCCTTCAGACAGTGTGTTAAAGAGGTGAGAGGGTCTTGCATTCAGGAATAAGGCTGTTGTTTTCAGAGTAATTGTGGAAAGAATTGTCCCTTTGGTCTCTCTCGTGGTCGCTTGTCCAATCCTTGCTCAAGGAAAGTTAAGCTTTAGCAACTCTGTGTATGGTTATGTCAGTGTCACTAAACAGAAAAAAAGAACTGTTGGTCATTTGACCAACAGTTGGACAATGACCCTTTGGTCATTTTTCTGCTCACTTGTCCAATCCTACTCTTTTTTTTATATACTGTACAGTCATGCCAATGATTATTGCAGGGAGAGAGAGTTGTTCCCCTTGGTCATCTTTGTGGTCACTTACCCAGCTTTGCTTGAGTAAAGAAAGCTTTAGAGAATATATGCTCATGTCATGGTCAGTTGTCTTAGGGAGAAAAAATTCGCCCTTTTTGTCTTCTGTGGTCATTTGTCCAGTCCTACTAGCCTTGAGTAAAGAAGGCTTTAGAAACTCTTTGTACAGAGCGTGTGCTGTGGTCACTTGTTGTGGGGAGAGAGAATTTTTCCCCTTTGGTTTCTTTCATGGTCACTTGTCCAGTCCTATGTGCCTTGAGTAAGGAAGGCTTTAGAAGCTCTTTATACAGAGTGCATGCTGTGGACACTTTTGCTTGGAGAAAGAATTGTTCTCCTTTGCTCTTTTTTATGGCCACTTGTCCAGCCTTACTGGCCTTGAGTAAGACACTCTTTATACAGAGTGTATGCTCATGCAAGTCTTTCACACACTAGCATGTTCTTTAGCATGTTTAACCGTGTGGACGGACCTGCTTTATTGAGCTTGCTCACTGCTTAACCTCGGTGACCCCAGAGTGTGGCCACTCATTCATGGAGAGGACGCCTGGACTTTTCCTTTGCGTCGTGCCCAAACCCAGCCTTGCGTTTCACCACAGCAACCGAGGAAATTCAAGGGAAATGTTTCTGTGACTCGTTCAGGGTCCAGCATCAAAGCGTGTGCTAAATCATAACTTGTTTCATGTACACATCACATAGACATCACATGCCAGTACTCTTTTTGCTGGCTTCCCAAAATGAGGTGATGTGGCTCTTGGAGGTTTTATTGTGTGTTAGTACACACACATACACGCACACACACAAACACACGCACACCATCACATGCTGTTTGAAGCTTGAGTGGGTCCCTGTCCCTCACAAGCACCCAGGATGTGTGTGTGTGTGTGTGTGTGTGTGTGCTAGGACTGCATGGTAAAGACATACTACATTGCAATTAGGAAGGAGTCTGAATCCTCAAATATTTGAATAGGCATAAAAGTCATAAATCAAAATCAAATAGTAAATTAGTATTTTGTATGTTTTGCATTCTTGTACTGAAGAAGCATGAGATGTCTGAACTCTATACTCCTCTAGAGGGCAGTGTAGAACCTGCATCTTATGTATTGGTCAGAGTTTATTGTCTTTTTAGTCCAAAGAATGAAGCATAGAAAGACTACTGCAGCCGGCTAAAGGCTGTTGCATACTGTACAAGAAATGCTGTGCAACAGATAGTACAGAGTGCAGCTATACCACATATATAACATCACAGAAAAAGTGCCAGTAAACAGTTCATTTTACACTCTATTTGTGTATATTTAACGGAATCAAATTTACAAACATAAGCATTAAAGATAAGATCACTAAATTTATATTGAAACGTTTCTCTGTGTAGATTTCTGCAATAGATTAGTGCTCAGGGTCTGGGTTTAGTATAATACAGTAATAGTAAGATGCTGAATAGGGTCACACGCTTTTTCTGGGTGGCTGGGGGGTATTATTTGAATATATTTTCCTAATAATGTCTTACAAGTTGATTATCCAATCTGCCTGAGGTTGCAGTTGCTGCTACATATTGCCATTGTTTGGGTCATGTGAATGCACTGATTTGTCAAAACACCCACAAAAACACTAAAAAATCTGTCATTGGTTATAGCGCTCATTTGCATATTGCAGTCCTCTGTGATGTCAGTATAGCCAACGTAACATTAACAATTAACAAACAAAATATTGTGCAGCCCCTCTGTGTGGTGTTTGCATGTGTTGGTCAGTGCTGAAAATGTTTACATCTCAGCACCCTGGAATGTCTTGGGCTATATTTACTACTTCAACTGATAATGAGGGTGGCCACTTTACAGTAGTCTGTTATTAGCTTGTGCATGGTGCTTCCTTTAGAGCAGAGGAGGAGAAGAAGGAGAGAAAAGACAGAGCAGAGAAGAGGGGATGCAGGAGAGACAAAGCCAAAAGGATTTCAGGAGCCTCCATGCATCATCTGCAGCTGTTCACCACTCAGATACACCATGATGGACTGTAGTGTGCAGTTGTGCTAGCACTAAGTGTATTTTAGCCTGCAACATATGTTCATTTTCCAGAAATATGAAAATCCCAAGGCTGAAGGTGCTCTGTTGTACTGTATTCAGTGATGCATTTAAGGTGTAAATCTCAGACCTGGAATTTGAAATATGGTCTTTTATAGTTCCACATTTCTAATACCTAAGCAGTCAGTCTTATCTGTGTCAGTGAGCCAATAAACATGCTCGTTCTAAAATGTGATTGGCTGTCTAAATTACATCCTGTACACTTACTATTATCATCAGCACTTCTTAAGTGCTGCATGCTGCACCTTTGGTTATTCTGCAGTCTGTTGTGGTCAGTAAATACTCACTTCCAGCACCTCATGCAAATACAAATGATTTTGTTTGTTGAATATTTATTAGTATGAATGCAATCAGCAGCAGTGTTTCTGAACACCCTCCGCACAGTCTTCAAAATCCAACGCTGCTAGATGCTAATGCAAATTTTGGAACAGATTTTTTTGGTAACCCTTTCATCTCTATTTTTGTTGTTTCATAGTTTTACATAATTTGAACACACCAGCTGCCCTTTACATCGTGTGAGTTGCTTGATTACTAAGTCAAAATAGGTCCAAAATGTCTAGGCAAAACTACTTATATTTCCATTATAAGTTAATAACCTTTTATTTGGTTTTACTTCTTATGTAAAGTTACCATTTTGGAGATATGAGGTTTGTTCTGACAGTGATGCTTATACAGTGTTGTTTTATTTTATTTTATTTTTTGCAAAAAGTATAACTCTGTATTTAAAAGAAGGTATCGAGGTCAAGATATTGATTTTGAAAACTGTTAATGATCCCCAGCTCTAATTATGATTCTTTAATGAACTATTCAGTGTATCGTGAAATCGTAACTTTTACCATGATTAGATTTGATTCATATATTGTGGTATGATTCAGAATTATTCAGCATATTTTTAAAATTTGAAAACAGCATTAGAATATAACTTTGACAAAAATGCATATTTTGCATACTTCACTGACTATTGTAAATTATTACAATTTGTAATCAATTATTATAGCAATATTCCACAAGAAGCCATGGGTTACAGTGATTTTACTATGTTACTCCAACGCAAAGTGGGCAAAATAGAATGTGATAAAATACACAGGTGTTCAGTAAATAATTTAGTTCATTATTAAATGATAAACAATTCAGCTGCCAAGCAGTGTAGTTTGTTAACAGTAGGCTATGTTTGCAAAGCAATATAATGGTTATCCACGTGTACATGTCTGCTGATGCCAATTTCAGTACATAAACATGTATGAAATGTAGAAATTGGGCTTAACAGTGCAGTTAAATGAACAAAATGCAGATATTGTAGCACAATGTTGCCTAAACATTCTGCTGCACCAGATACAATAAATCTCAAATATCAGTTTGATATCAGTTAAATTGAAACGTCTATGCGATACCGATATTATTCCAGTATCATTGTGCATCTCTTATTCTAACATTCCATGTTCTCAGAGCAGACTGTCTGTTTAAGCTGCACGTGTCATGCCGACTACCTCAAGCCAAAAGAGAAAGGGCTACGGTTGAGTCTTTGTGCCATTGTTTTTGTGAACAGTTGCAAAGTTACGTGTACTTTACGGTTAGACAGCTCTCCAGTGCTAATGTTACGCAGTGGCCATAAATTGTGGCGCAGGCACCGAGTGGAAACTTTGCTGCTGACTGGAGAGACAGAAACAAAAGCAGTGAGACTTGGTTTCAGTGTGTGTGTGTGTGTGTGTGTGTGTGTGTGTGTGTGTGTGTGTGTGTGTGTGTGTGTGAGGCTCTTTTCAGTTCTCTCTGTGAGATATATGGGCTACACTGGAGTAGAGAGTTGGAGGGTTCACAGATTACATGCTGAAGCATGTAGTTCGGCTGTTTATGTGGAAGACGCACACATCACATGCTCACATGCACACACACACACACACACACAGACACCACATGCTGACCCAGATCCACACACGTTTTTTTCTGCTGATTTGAGTAATTGGGATGAAATGCCAAATTCTTAGGAAAGAGGTTGGATCTTGACGGGCAATCCGAAAAAACAACTACGGGGATTTCAAATGTCTGATAGGATGATATCACCTAATCATCTAATCACTTACATCATCACAGCTGCATGCTCACCAGAGAGTATGTGGTGTGTCTGTGTGTGTGTACAGTGGAAAAAGTAATGCATTCGGTTTAGGAACCTGAATCTGTTTAATCTTGGTCTTGTGGGCACACCATATACATATACAACGTATATCCTGTAAATAACTTTCCAATATCCATTCTTTCAATATAAATTACATTTTGGATCATGCGTACATAAGCAGTATGCTCAATCAGAAGGGTGATGTGGCTTATTCCACCCAGTTTTGCTTTAATAAAACTTTGTTCACCTGTGGACTCGTGCTTGAGTCAGAGAAACTTACAGAGCGAAAGCTAACAACAAAGCGAAAGCTCATCTGTGATGGTCTCTGCTTATCATCTGTCTGACTATCCGTATGTTCTTTCAAGTGGCTATGCACACATTCACTGGATGCACTTCAAGCTGTAGAGTGAACAAGAACCGTCTTTAAAACGTCACCATATAAAAGCTGAATAATGTTTTTAGCGAGTCATGGATACAGTGGAGATATCATCAGAACACTAAGATCACACCCAGATAGTTTTCAGATAGTTTTGTTAAATGTTTTATAAGTTATATTTTACTATATTTCTGCCTTGTTTTTTCATTCAGATTTTGCTGGATGTTTAATATAATTCTGAATAAAACACTTGTATTCCCCTGGACAAAATACAAATAAATTAAAAACTGTTTTGATATCTTGTTTGTGTGGAAGTGATAATTGACTCAAGTATGTTCACTGCATTGCTTTTTTGTGTGGGTATGTGTGCATGTAACTCCATGAGAATGAGAGCATGGAATAATAGAAGAGTTTCTGCCCAACTAAATGATACACCAGAGAGTTCTGTGTGTTTCTGCTTTGGACCTTAGTGACCCCCACACACCCTCTCACCTAGTTAGCTCACTCTCAGCTGCCTCACCAGAGAGTGGAGCGTGCCAGATGCATTAGGCCGTGACTTTTAAGGGGAAGATCAGATATTGGAAGCTTGCTGAAGTTCATGAATCAAAAGTAGTTGTATCAACCATAAAAGGTTATAGAAGCTTTGGTACATCTCTCACTACTGTATGCTTATCATTTGATTATAACAGTTTGATTACATGTAATAGAGCAGTACACATTCCTCCTAGAGTTTACAGGATGAATTGTCCAGCCTAAACCTTATTGTTGCTCCTTGCCCAAATGTTAAATGTCAGTTAAGTAGTAAAAATAACCTTGGTTTCTGCACTGTCCTCAAAGTGGCTACTCAGCAGTTTCTGTTTATTTCATGTGATTATAAAGCTTGAATGACAACTCTACCCTGTCTAGAAGACTAGGCCTGAAGACACTGCAGGCCAAAAAATGAGAAGAGAAATGAGCAGTGAAATATTTTGCAATCCACCCACAAATGTTTTTTTTCATAGTAACTGTTGCCAGGTTAGACAAACTTTACACACCACTGGCAAAATCCCATTCAACATAGTGAGAAATTGTAGCACACAGCTCAGTTCTGTCAAAATACGTACATTTAGGGTGCATGATTAGTTTGAAATTTGTTTTTTTTTTGTATGTGTGAAAGGTTTTGCTGGTGGCATAGATTGAGTTAACATCAGCATGGTGGCAAATTTATTGTTGTAGCTTCCAACCTTGCTGGTTTTGATTAGCTACAGCAATACATTCCAGCTTAGTAGCATAGCATTTTAAACTCAGAACTCAAAGTTATGTACCAGATCCAAATGCTAACTTAAATTCATTAGGTTCAGTAGTATTTTGCCAACGTTCTGTAAAGCTTCTTCAATATATTTGTGTGCAAAGCGTGGAAATGTCAAGTCTGTCTTTTAACACCTAGTTCAAACAAATATTGGTTTGCAGGAATGTACTTATACTCTAATGTTTAATATGGGACAAGCCTTTATGCTCTTTATTAATTATGGACCATTTCAGTGACTAGTTTTTAAATTATTTACAAACTCCTAATGTAACACACTTAATTCCATTCATCAAGCCTCCAGGAGCATCTGAGTGTGAGGATCAGGTGATTATGACTAGAACTGGAATAAATATTTGATAAAAAGATTGCTGTTCATTATCTTTTTGAAAAATGTTATGTTTACTTTTACAAAGTTAATGTTGTTTCCAAACTTCTGGCCTGTAGTCTAGATCCTTTGCTTGGATTTATATGGCCTGTGTGTTGCTGTGTTTGTGGACAGAGTGTAGGAGATGGGCAGACTTTTCAGAGAGCTTGTCATGTGTGTTTATTCTGTAGAGGTGAATCTGGAGGTCTCATTCATCCCTCTTCTGTTTACAGAGTGGAAGAAGCTCCCTGAGAGAGAGAGAGAGAGAGAGAGAGAGCTAAAGAGAGAGGGAGAGGATGAGTCACAGTCTTCAGCAGCAGGGTTCAGTGCTGCGCTGGAGGCCGGGTGGCCCCCATCATGAAATCCAGCTCTGGCTGTTTTGATGGAAACTCTGTTGTGCAGTTTTTGAGTTTAGTGTGTGCCTCAGCAGCATCTTTCTCCTTACAGTTGCAGAAAAAGCCATGCTAGGAAAAGATGTGGGGATTCTAAAAGAGGGATTGTATGGAGAGATCATCCTTTTCATTCAAAGGTGAAGATTTTTAACCCTTGTGTGTTGCCGTTATGGCTGACGACAATGAAAGCATGCTGAAATTTTACATTATTACTCACTCATACACTCTTAGCGAAATGGTTCTATGAATGGTTCTGTATATTACATATCTATATCAATAGTGATGTTTCAATGTTGGGGCCCCTTTTTGGTGCGATATTGATCTCTTTTCAAAAACATTCTATATAGAAGCTTCCCCAATCTGAAAAAAACTCTCATGATGCAAAGAACCTTTTAATCATGATGCAAAGAACCTTTTAATCTTGCAAAGGGTTCTTTGAGTGTTTATTGTTTATATAGAACCATTTTCTTTACTAAAGAACCCTTAAAGAACCATCTTTTTCACCATTTTTAAGAGCTAGATATTGTAAACAGTTGGAGAAAGGTTTGAATTCTAAATTTTAAATTAATATCCCATAATTAAAGAGGAGGTTTTATTGAGATTTAAGTGCACTTCTTTACTTTTTTGTTATGTTTTTATCAGTGTTCAAGACATTGAGAAGATGGAAGAATTGTGAGGCACAGACTCAAACCTGTCAATACAGGTGTAAAGTAATTAATTGTGTAATTAAAGGCCCATGTAACTATATATCATAGATTTTATTATATGTATTGGGTAATATATAATTACATAATGTAACCACATGAATATATAAAATGTAACAAAATGGCAGTTGTAATTTTAGACTTGTTAGTGTTAAATCAGAAAAAATTCTAGAAGATCCATTGACATTTGTTTGGGGAATCTGCCACCTTACCACATTCCTGTTTCCCACAGGACATGCTTGAATCTCTAACTCTAACTCTAGCGTGTGGGTGATCTTCTGTCCTCCCTGTGTTAAACAACAGCTCAGGGTGCAAAAGCCCTTGTCCCCTGGGGCATTAGAAAAGCTCTGCCAAGCGAGCTTCACAAGCAAATGGGTTATTTGCACCCCGCTGTTGTATTTGGCAGCACTGGTGGATGTGGGCTGAGCTAACAGAAGCGCCGGCTTCATCTGACCCTTCTTCCTGACCATGCAGGGCCGTGGCTCCGAAACCTCACGTCTTGGCTGTACAGAGAGCCTGTATGGAACTGGACGTTGAGTTTTGGTCAACGAGCAGAACCTGTTCTGTAATTTGCCAGAAGGGCTGTAGTTAGTAGGCTGCTAATTGCAGAGCGCCACATGGCACTGTTGTGGTGCTGTGCACTCCCTGAGCCTGCTGCTCCACCTCCAGCTCCTCTCCAACAGCCTGCTTTTATTGTCCGACAGAGGAACCATAACGCTTATGAAGTTATTGCTTTGGAATCAAAGAGGAGCATTTGACTGTGTTTGCTATGGACATATGAACTGGGTCTAGGACTGTTTTGAGGTTGTATTTAGTATCTTAACAGTGTCTCTTCTTACTTTCCACTGCTGTGTTAGAATATCATTATCTTTAATCATTTTTGCACTTGCAGGCCAGAATGTTGTTAATGCCATGTAGAATTTAGCTGCTGTTTGGAGTTGATTTAGATCCCCTGCATTCATTAATATGTTTTTTATATGGTTAACTTCTCTTGGATGGCTTGGTGTGAGTATAAAGACTGATATGTGTATCAGGTGTGTTATAGAGCAAAGTTCACATTTTTGCTTTTAAAACACTGGCTTTCTCCGAACATCCGAAACAAAAAATTGTGGGGCGCTGTGTGAGCGTAGTTTTGTAGACCACAAATTAGCCTGAACCTATCATGGTCCAGTATACTAAAATATGCTAATGAGAGGATCATGATGTGCCAGTAAGAAACTTGCTTACTGCTACATGCCTGTGCTAACAAAGCTTAACATAGCTTACTTCTTTGAGATGTTAGGACAGTGCAGTAAGCTGTTAGCTAAAATAAATAAATGTGGGTATTTAAAGTGGGTGGTGTGTCAAATGTGGTATGTAGTGCCATAGTTGAACTGTTCTAATAGCAGGCAGCATGCTAATACAGTAGCTTAGCATGCTACAGCTTCACATCGCAGTACAGGTTCATTCCTTCTCACTGAAGCTTCATTGATAAAGACTCAAATCTAAGCAGGTAAACTTATGTATTTGCATGTGAAGCTACTTTTGCTTCAGTATCCTCATTAGCACCAGAGCCTAGCGTTATCTTAGCGAGAAGGCCTAAATAGCTTTACGTACAGCCACACAGGTCCTTTCCATCTCATGAAGTTTCACTGATGCAAATGGAGAATAAAGGCTAAAATCTTTAGCAGGTAAACCTATGTTTTTGTTTGTGGGGCTGTTAGCTTAAGCTATTTTTAAATCTTATCCTTGATAGCACCAGAGGCTAACATTAGCCTAATGAGAAGGCTAAACTACCAGCAATTCTGGCTCACTGGTGTTGCAGTGGGGCTAGTTTAGAGGATAAAGCATCTGAGTGAAATCGAGTGACTGATGCCACAGTGACAGAAAGACGTTTTTCTGATTATTGACGTTAAAGTGGGAGTTTTATATCTGCTCCACCTTGTCTCATCTGTTTAGTCTGCAACATGGAGACAGAGTGCAGGGTAGTGGAGGGAGGGGTTGGGGTTTAGTAACAGGGTGGCAATGGGACATTTGCAATTAGTAATAGTTGTGCATATTCATACATCTTTGCATTCTTAGTGTTGAGATTAGGGATGCTCCTGTGCCATTTTTAGTAGTTTCTTGGCCTTGACAAAATACATACAAATATATAGTCATTTAAATAAAAATATGCAGATGTTTATGACATTAAATAAATAACCCAGTGTTTTCTGCCACATCTGTATTTATCTGTATATTGGCATGGACACTTGTAATAGATGCCATTGAGTGATTGCTGAAATGTTGAGTCAGTTGATACACTACAAGGAAATGATGTAATTATCGTCCATGGTGATCAACCTTATGCTACAGATACAGCACATAGACTGGTTTAAAAAATGCTGGAGTGTTCTTTTAATGCCCTGGTACTGATTAACTTGTATTTTATAACCATATCCATTATAAGGTTTTTGCTTTGAAATGAGTAAATTACCTTACGCAGTGTGGAGCTTTGAGTTGGGCATGGGCTGTTTATTAGCACCTAGGGACGTCTGCTTTCCTAGAGCCATGGTAGAATGTTCTTATCTTTAATCATTTTTGCACAGCCCAGTTTTTAAAGCTGGATAGAATTTAGCCACTATATAGCCATAAAGCCGTGCTGCTTTGATTGACTGTTCCCCACAGGACCCCGGGAGCCCTCAACAGGCCACTTGTGAGACCCTTTAGAAAATGGCTGCCAGGCAGCCCCTCACAGGTAAAAAAAATAACTTTGGAGCTCCATTTTCCCACATTCAGAGTCCTTTCCATTGAGCCTGACACATTCTTTATTCCTCTTTCTGAGGGGGAAGCGGAGAGAGGGAGAAAGAGAGAAAGACCCCCTCCTCCCTCGCTCATGTCCGTAATGGCACTGTCATGCAGAAAGACTGCATTGTGTGGGCCTGGATCCTGTTTCTCCCGGGGCCTGTAATTAAGAAGGGATTGCATGGGCTGGGATATTTGGGTGCTTGCTTCGGGGGAAGGGATCGGTCTGGTTTGGTAAACTGTCTACAAAGCGCATAGTTGGACCTGCCCTGCTGCTGCTGTCCTGGAGCCCTACGCACTCTTACTGTTCAACACCCACACACAACCACAGAGTGCCAGCTCAGGCCCAGCTGGAGCTCACCAGAAAATGCTGTCTGCTCGGCATACGTTCGGAGAGGAAGAGAGAGAAAGGGAGAGGATCTCAGAAAAAAAGGAAACCTTTTGTTTAGCGTTGTCATTGTAGCATTCAGTTTGCTTTTCTCCAGTTACCAAGGTGATCCTTAAGAAGTGTGCTCTCCTTTTGACAGAAGGAAACAATAAAAGGAGGTGAGAAAGCTTTGGGCCAAAGGCTGTGATGTCAGCGTGTGTGTTTCACCTTCTAGGAAATGTCAGTCTGAGAAAGGCAGAGCAGAACACAGTCCTGGCTTAGATCCTCCAGATACTTTGGCTATTGTTGTAGTACATTGTTTGGCAATATTAGACTGTCTTCAACTGCTCCAGCGCTGTCTAGTCTGCAGAGTTTCTCTCTCGCTCTCTCTCTCAGTTGGGTGGTGTGTGAGAGCTGTTGTAATGAAATGTTGTTAAAGTAAAAAAAGAACAAGGCCTTGTGCTGGAAAACTCCTTCACAGACGAGCACTACTACACTTTACCACAGATGCAGAGAAGTCTGCAGGTCAGCTGGTAGAGAAAACAAATGCCAAGCCTGTTTCCATTATTGTTTGTTGGTCCACCACTTACACTGTAATCAAGAAGACTTTTTCATTTAAAGAGTGTCTTTTTCTCTCTGTCTTTATATCTGTAAAAGTTCATTAAGTTTGTTGTAACCGACTCCATTTCGTTACTGGTTCATGTTTGGTTGATCTTGGTGTTCTCTCTTTTCTCCTTTCGCTCTCTCTCCCTCTCTCTCTTTCTCTTTCGCTCTCTCTCTTCCCCTGTGTTTCTTCCTGTCTGTCTTTTTTCACTCTCTTATTCTCTCTTCTCTCTCTCTCTCTCTCTCTCTCTCTCCCTCTCTCTCTCTCTCTCTCTCTCTCTCTCTCTCTCTCTCTCTCTCTCTGTGGTGCAGGTTGGTACAGTGGTCTGTGGGCACAGATGGCAGAGGTGATGGAGGGTGGTGCAGTGGGTGCAGTGGTGACTGTGTCCGGTGCCAGTGTGGATTGGCAGAAGAGATGTGTCGCTCTGGAGATGCAGCTGCTCCGCTTCCGACTGCAGGCGGGCAAAATCCGGCAGCTACTGGCTGAGAAGGTATGTAGTGTGGCTGTGTGTGTGTGTGTGTGTGTGTGTGTGGTGGTAGGATAATTTAGCTATGCTTGTTGATATTTCCACACTCAAATACTCGTTTTTCCACACTCACATACTCAAATACAATATTTTAAGTGTTTTTAGTTGTCTGTCTGGCGGAACAGATACACTTCCATTTCAGTAATTTTTTGTTGCACACTGGCTCTGCTAGACGTGCTTACAGCTGTCAAAATGCAAGCCTTTTTTTCCTACTTGTGTGGTAGATGGATAAAGATCACACTACTTAATTATTTGAGATGATCTCTCAAACTTTTTAGCCTCATGATATAGAATCAGAATCAGAATTTTTATTTGCCAAGTACCAGATGTACAAGAAATGTTATACCATTTTACCACAAACTTTTCACTTACCGATTTTCTTGTAATTTCTCATTTATCTGTGCTCTTTCAGCTTCAGTGGCCACATAGAAAGTGGTGCAGTTTGTTGCATTGAGGCAAAGTGATGTGGATGTCTGGCATACATTTTTGATGCATTCAGTTAAACCAGCTTATTTATTTAGTTAAAAATCCATGTACATACCAGTGACTGTTATATCTAATGGCCTTTGATCATGAAATTTATTTAAGCTATATTATCTGTAGCTTAAAAAAGACTAAACTTCCAAAAAGAGAAATGAATTCTCACATAACAAACAAATACTTGAGTATCCAAATTATTCGGGCCAGCCCTGCTTTCCTTTTTTAGATTTTTATTTTTTTTAAACCATTTGAGAACACCAGCTGTGCTTTACACTGTATAAATATGTTTTGAAAAGCAAACCTTTCAGGCTAAGCTTGTGTTTTTTTAAGTTACATTAACAGATGGTGAGGTAACATTTTCTCTTTTTCGTGTGATGTTACTGTTTTGTAGATGTGAATATTTCTTACTACAGCACTGATGCATATTAAATTTGGCTTTCTTAGCTTAGTTTAAACTGGCATAGTGCTGTATGTGCTTTTAAAGCATTATAATAACAGTCTCTTCTGCTCCTTTTGCCATACTTGTCCTCCTCTTCAGGCAGAGAGTAGTTCTCCTCCCTTCTCCTTTACTTTCCTCTCTTCTTCCCTGTCTCCCCCGCACACACTCATGCTGCACTGACCTCGCTGGTGCAAGAAACGGTCAACTGTGTGACTTGGCAGGGAGCCCTGCAAAGAGAGTCAGGGGACACAACTGTGTGAATGTATACTTGAGTGAATATACAGGTGTGTGTATGTGTGAGAGAGATACAGTTTTATTGAAAGTACAATGGTGTATGTGTCCATCTCCGTTCTAAACAGTGGAGCAGGAGAAGCTCTTAACCCCATAAATGGCCAGGGCCCACTGGCAAGCCTAGTTTTATTACACACTTATATAGCCTAAGAATAGCTCAACCAGTTTGCATTGAAGTTCCTGTAGTTACTGAACAATAAGCCATAGTGTGTAATAAGCCTGTGATTTTAAGGGGTTAAAGTGGAAGAGCAATACTCGGTGTTAGATACACTTGTGGTCTTAAGGATGGAAAAGACTTGATATATAAAATAGTCGGTTCACCATAATCATGTGCATAGTGATACTCATGTTTACACAGATGATAAGAGTCCCAAAAGTAACAGTGCTGACAGGACATTCGCTTTATGGCTTTTGTTTTTGTTCATCTCAACTAGGGAGTGGGCCAGAGTCTCTCGCTATGTGTTTGACTCTTTAAGGCTGTTTCTCCCTTTAAGCTTCTTGTCCTGTAATTAAATTGATTTTACAGTGCTATTGTCATATTTGTTTTGGTATGTAAAAAATATTTTCAGATTTGTGAATTTTTATTCTGTCTCACAAACTATCGTTTCGCATATCGCTGAATGGATATATACAGTCAGAAATTCAAAAATAATTCAAAGATATGGATAAAATGGGACTCCTAACAACTTTGTGAGACCATCAAAACTGTCACCATCAGATAAACAGTATGTAAAGCTTTCATCTTTGAGAGAGAGAGGAGAAAATCAACAGACAAACAGAAGAATTTGTGTTACAACCCTGAAACTAGACTGGACTGATTTGTTTACATTTGAGATCTTTGGAAATAACAGAAGGCAGTGTTTTTCCTGAGGAAGCCATAAAAGACTCTTTTATGGAGTTGGTGATTTGTTTTTTGATTGAAGGCATCATGAATGCTGATAAGTACAAACAAATTTTAATACGTCATGCAGTATCATCTGGAAAATGTTTGAGATTAAATTCGTTCTTCTGCAAGATAACATCCCCAAGCACACTGCTGAGAAGATCATGGCATATTTATCAAATAAATAAGCTGCTGGTGTTCTCAGCACAATGAAGTTGCCACCCCAGAGCCAGGGCCTCAACGTCATTGAATTTGTTTGCATGGCTGCACACAGAAAACTCCAGTTTCTCATGTCGATACATTTTACTGTGCCCAACATTGACCAGCACATCCCAACTATTATGGTGGCAGGATATAATGAGTTAAAGGAGACAAAAGCATTCCTTAAATGTATTACAGCTGATAAATTAGGTAGGGAAAGGTTAAAAGTATGTGTGTACCTTCTTTCTATAGCTCTCTCTTTTTCCATCAGCAGGATGTTTGCTGTCTAAACACAGTTCACAGTGATAAGGTCTCCTCGTGGCCTGCATCAGGTCTTTCACTCCTCTCATATCATCTATCCTTCCACCCCCTCCAGTTAAGGGCAGGATTAAATCTTACCCTATCTGGCTCTCTGTGTATTTTGTAAATGAGGATGGAGGGAGTAGAGAGAGAGAGAGAGAGAGAGAGAGATGTTGATATTGCCAGAAAGACTGCTTCTCACACTTCTCCTCTGTCTCTGCAGGCCAAGTTAGGAGTGTTTTACACATTGACCCACTTTGCAGCTTGAGAATAGGACCCTGGCATGTGACAGGGGAGTGAGCGCTCGGGGTTTTGGACTGAAATGATTTCTGTGTCATCTGCTCAAGTGGCAGCACATGACTGCTGTGACTACAGAAAAGTGCACCACTACTGACGACTACATAGAAATACAAAATCAATGGTCGGTAAAATCAGTGGGTGGTCAGTGGTTGGACAGGTGGTTGGATAACTATGGACAATGTGTGAGAATGCTCTGATTTTACTTGTGGAGACAAAATATAGATAAGATGAAAACCTTCCATAAAAGATGGTTAAATTTTCATATTCTTAACTATTTCATGTAATAACTTTCTGCAAGGGGGCTTTTAGAGGCATTTAATGCTTTGGACGTCTGGTTCCTGTCAATACCACTGTGAACAATTCTGACTTGGCAAGTTTCTCTGCAACAAAGCATTCCACGTCAAACCGATCTGAATGGCTTTGTTTACATCTTAATAATTAAGTCATACAGAATTTGTCGAACTTCCCTTCGAGTTTAGACGTAAGAAAAAGCAGTTATGTTACTACATTAGTCAACCTAAAATTAAAGTGATTTTTTTTACCTTGTTAGTTCATATCATGGTCTTTTTAAACACAATTAATCATACCATACCATGTTTTTAGGATGACATTCTTATTTTCTCTTAATCTTCAGTCAAAATGTGATGACTATTGCCCTGCCTATAAAATGTCTTCTGAGCTTGGGATGGGGAAAAATATTACCCAATATCATGTTTCACCTCCCCCCAACTAACCTCCATCAACAGCATTATTCTATCTCTGTACCTCTGTCCAACTCTCTCTCCATTTCTGCCCATATTGCCCCTTTGTCTCCAGTCTTCTTTCTGTCTCGGCCTGGATTTAATAATTGAGCTTAGTTTAGAGCATGGCTGTATGTGAAATGGTTAATGATTGCTCTGCTAGGCAGCAGTTTCACTGTGGAAAGGGTTATGCTTTAATAGAGGACAGCAGTGGATCAGTTGCAATGCTCTTGGCACCCAGACCCAAACATGCGGTATTCCCCCTGTTCTCACATCTTTATTTTGATTTCCTTTTCTAAACAGGACAGTAATATATCTTATGTTTTGAATGGCATGAATGAATTTTGCTGTTTTAGGAGTTAGAGGTTAGATTTAAGCCAAAAATACAAGCCAGCCTAATGTTCCCAGTGGCAACTGCAAGTGCAGTTGGTAAATGTCCGACATGCCTGTGTTCGGCCTATTGGCCACCTGTCCAACGTACAGCCTGGCCTCTGCTGAGTCAGGAAGACAGGAATAAATGGGCTTTAGCTTATCTTGTGTCTTAATTGTGGCTGATGTTGGTATTTTTGGAAAGTAAATGTTGTTGGGTATCTTTCAGCCTTTAACCTTTTAATGCTGAGTCAGAAAGCGGCAATTCCCGCCCTTCAATCTAAAGTTCTTCTTGAATAATGTAATTTCTTAACACTGTGGTCTCATTTAGAAGGTAAAATTCTTGTTTTCTCTTAATCTTTAATAAAAATGTAACGAGTTTTGCTGCCTTTTTCAACATTTTCTGATTGATGGCTACATTGCCACATAGCAGTAGGTGTGGAAAAAATAAGATTAACCAATGATATCATGTTTCACCTTCTTTCTCTCACCACCCATCACCATTCATCAAGTGAAACACCTCAACTAGATTAGAAAACTCCCTGATAGACCATTAAATACATCACAGTATGGAAAATGTATAATTGCTAAAATATAAAATCTTATATATAAATGTTATAATTTCCCATTCACATTGCATCCGTTACAGTCCAGCCATCGGTAAAGGCAGTGTTATGCTTCTTTTATGTAGTGATAAACACAATAGCACACAGAAAACTCCAATTCTATGTGCTGATACATTTCACTATAGGTGACATGGACATACACCTGTCAACTTCTCTGAGGCCAGATTTTAAGGTGCTAAAGGGGACAAAAGCCGAGTCTCTGGCTATAGTGCTAGCAACATGTTAGGTCTTTATTAAAACTTGGTGTTTAAATTTATATATCCTGTTGAGTGTTCACTCTGGTGCAGTCTGCTCATTTTTTTGGTGAATCATGCCTCAGTTGAGGCCTAGTGTCTCATTTACCGTGATTAAACTGCCTCAGTAGCACTTAATGCACAGTGAGTCATTGCTCATTGCAGAGGGCTGTGGTGAGGCGAGTGCGTGGGCCTCAGTCCAGCACTAATTGTAATTGGTCTGTGTGCGTGTGTATGTGAGCCTGCTAGGGGACTGGTTTACGGTGGCAATCCTGAAGACTGATCTAAGACCGGGTATGAATGAGGCTTAGATCTGATCTGAAAAGATCCAATTTCATGTTCACACAGCTGTGAAAGAATCAGATTTGTGTCCCATTTATGCAAAGAAATCTCATTCATACCACCTCAGTCCTCTAATGTGAATGTGTTCATACATGGTGAGGGCATTCTGGTAAGCCTTGGCCTAGGGCTGTTGGAAGTGGGGCAAGGGGATTGAGAAACAGGAGAGGAGAACAAAAGTATAGTGGAACAAAGCAGACAAAGCTATGGTCATGCAGAGGGAATTCATTAGTCCTGCTTTCTGCTAGGTCACTGAGCCCAGGAAAGGGAGCACTGCCTCCAGCCCCAGGAACATGTGTGTGTATATGTAGTTTTGCACTGTATTTTTAGTTAAATCTGTAAATCTGTGTGCGCAGTGCTTTGCAAATGTCAGAGACCATCTTTTCGTTTGTTCAATTTCCAGTCAAAATGGCTGTTCAATTTTTATTTTTTAGGGAGAAAATGTAGGACAGATATTTAACAAAAAATTACACAAAAGCCTCCAACACCGAGCACATCAGTGCTGTCAGTGTTTAATTTGTACATTTGTTTTTACTTTTGTGCACCAATCTGCAATTGTTCCATCCTTACAGTCTTATAATCAATTTTGTCCTCTCAACAAAAGTTGTTGTTAAAGGAGTCACTGTTATTATGTTAGTGTTAGTGTTCAAAGAGACACTAACATTCATGCAAGCAAGTACCCAAACACACCTCAGCTGCCTTGCAGATTTTTCCCATGTACATGTAAAATTGCTAAATAAGGTATTTCTGATTAGATATAAGATAATTCACTTGCATAACAAAGGGTAAAGTCAAAGGAAATTATGTGAAAAAGGAGTTTCCAAAAGTTTAAAAAATGATTAAAAGATACTGAGAGAATGGGACTACTAACAACCATGCCAGACCAGATAGACCATCATAACTGTCTCCATCAGGTAAACAGTACTTAAAGTTTTCATCTTAGAGAAAGAGGAGAAAATCAAGCTCCACTCTTGCATTAGATCTGAAAAAATCCACAGGTGTTTCTGTCCATCCTTCCACTATCAGAAGACAACTTAACACTATGGGTCTGAAAGGATGTGCAGCTTTCAAGAAGCCGTTACTTAGAAAAGGAAATAGACAGAAAATTTGCAGTAGAACACCAAAACTGGATAAACTGTAATAAAGGCAAAGGATGGACACTAAATACTGAAAAAGTATCAAATTATGAAAAAGTATTCTAGTTCTGACTAGAAATTAAACAAATGAAAAGGTGGTCTCTGACTTTTGAACACTACAGTATGTGTTTGTGAGTAGTGTGTGTGTGTATGTGGAGTATAGCATGTTTAAAGAAGTCCTATGAAAGCAAGTTTTAGAATTAAAAGTATGCTGCAGAATCTTTTCCCACATCTGTCTTTTGAGCTCTACCTACAGACTCACTGGTGCCAAGAGTTTACTTTAACATGCCTTTAACTGCACGTTCCTCTTTAGGTGTATAAAAACAGCTGATCCCAGCACAGATTAGCATTCATCTGAGCCACTTTTCTCTCTTTTGTGCTCACTTTCTCCTCTACTTATGTTTAAGATGTGGGTTTCTTTCCAACCATAAAAAGCTTTTATAAAACTCTATATGCCGTACAGTCCTGTAGTTGGGAAAAGTTCTTCATTCCCAGTTAAAAGCCTGACAAATACAAGCTCTGCTTCATCCTAAACCGTCATCAGTTGAACATCTGTGCTCTATATGTGTTCAAGTGTGTGTGTGCAACTGTTGTGAGTGATGAGTGGGAGGTAAGTTTATAATGGCGAGGTGCAGTCAGACATGCCCTGACCACCTCTCTCCTGTCAGCTGGTCATGGTGGTCTGCTAGAGTACTGTGGCAGACTGTGGTGGGAACATGTCCAGCCTTGCACTGATAAACCACAGGCTAAATTTAGTGCCGTCCATTGACTGAAAATCAGTTTAAAGGTTAACAAGGACCCTTGCTCAGCATCCACGACAGGTGAACCTCTCACCTTTTATTTTGATTTTATTTCATTCCTCACTCTCATACAGCCATATGCAAAGATTTGAACACCACTGGTCAAATTACTTGTTTTGTTGATTGTCTAAGTGAAAAGAATTTCCACAGAGAACAAACCAAAAAATGCAGATTTCTGCAGATTTTAGTGCACAATTTCTATTTATTTGCTAACATATTGTAAAAAATGAAACATAAGGTATAAAATGTTCTGTAACTTTGGCACAGGCCATATTTTATGTTTTTTTTTTTCGAATGTGAAACACGGTGGGTTCATGGTGTCCCGAGAAAATCCAGTTTTGTTTAAATCTAAAAAAGATTTCCTATGGTGTAAGAAACCACAAAGTCTGTGTGAGATTACTTGACCCCTTGTCATGGTTTGAGGGAAGTGTGATGATTTAGTTGTGCAGTTTGAATGCTGCTAATTGGTTGGGTATAGCCATGACTTGCTAGCTGCATTAGCCTTACAGCTTATAGAGCAAAACTGAAGACAACAAACATGTCTTGGCTGATCGATAGGCATGTCGCCCTGGATTTTGAATGTCTGTCCAGGTAAAAAATTTATTCCATTCCTGGAATCCAAGCATTTTCATATGTTATGTTATTTTTTGTGCAATTTTTTAAAAATGATTTTTTAATAAACCATGCAACCAAGTACAAAGTACAAACAACAAAAAAGCGCGGAGCAACAATGTGAGAAAAATAATGAGATGTATATATGGATCCATTATTAACTAAGACACTGTTCTAATATGAATGAGAATATTCTGTATAACACAGTAAGAGTGGGGGAAGAGGAAGAAATGGCGCACATTTAGTGGGTTCATATGTTATCATTTATTATGAAGTTTAAACAGCTTCTTTACATCCAGTCAGACTATTTATAAAAAACGGGTTTGGTTCAGACTGCCCTCAATATAGGCGCTAAATGTTTTGGAAAGGTGCACGGCTAGTGACGTGTTTAGGCACAAGGCAGCACTAGTATGTAGGTGAGCATAGCTACCTGTACACTGAATTTAGTAAAAAATCAAGCCACTGTTCAAGTACCCATGTTTTTCACAGGCCTGAGGTGGCAACCCTACTGATCGATTATATTTGGGTGTAAATGGAAAACTGAGCAAATTTTATGTTTTTGCCTAAATATTCCTTTAAAATCAGTAATACAAGATCGTCCAGTTCAAGGTACTTTACAAGCAGGTTTAAATCACCATGGCGTTCATGTGTGTCTACGTGCAGATGCAAGAGCTGGAGCAGAGAGTGACCGAGGCTGACCAGCGGGCTGAGAATGCTGAGAAACAGGTACGATCATTACAGCGGACTGTCCTCTTCAGCTAGAGCTGATTAGTGCCTGTCACTGCTAAAAAAAAGGCTTCTCATTTGGTTCGTTTCTCCAACATGAGCCTAATAAACTGCCTCATCATTTAAACTTGAGGCTTTATCAGCAAGGGAGTGCTCACTCAAAGATATGGCTAATCTTCTTCACTCAAGGTACAAATAATGGAAGAGAAGCTTAAATCAGCAAATGTGCAACCCAGCGAATCAGAAAGCTCCTTATACAGACGATATCAAGAGCTGACCAGTCAGATGCAGGAGAAAGATGTGATGATGAAGAGACTTGAAACACAGCTGGAAAAACAGGTATGTGGAGATTAGAGGGAGACAGATGGCCATGTATGTCCATAAAACTCACAGGCAGGGATGAGCCTGACCTTTTCAGATGCACAAAATTGTTTTCTCCTCCTCCTCAGAGTCTGGTTCGGGCCCAAGAAGCCAAGATTATAGAGGAGAAGGCAGCCAAAATCAAAGACTGGGTCACATTCAAGTTAAGAGAAGTGAGTTATGTGTTAGGTTGTACAGTTACCATACTAGCTTTTCTCTAAAACATTTTAATGAAATATTTTATTCCTCTTACTTTCTCTTTTAGATGGAGATAGAGAACCAGCAGTTAAAAATGGCCAACCTGAAGCAGGCGGAGCAGATTGTCCTACTCCAGGACAAGCTCCAAAGTAAATACACAGCTCTTCATCTTTAATGCTCCATTCTACTCTCCTCTTTTTTTAAATAAGGTCTTCCCTCATAGATCTGGCAGGAAACTAACTGACTGACTAACTGCTATATTTACTAAACAGTCTACAAAATCAAAATATTTAGTGTGTGAAACTGGCTCCACTCATGCAACTGATCTGTTGTGACCTGCTGTTTAAATTACATCAACTGCAAACTGGCTAATTTCAACATCAGAGGTGCTAATATACACTTTCACTCACAGCACATCTAAAACTGCTGTATGCAGGAGAAACTGAGAATGGCTCGATTCTGTCTAGAAGAGCTAGAAGTTTTGACAGGAAATGAGTCCCAGCTGCTAATAGATGAGCAGTTTGGAAAATAAGTGTGAAGAAAATAAATGCAATTGGAATAACTAGTCTGTGGATACACAATAAAAAGACCAGCGTGACCATCTGTCTGGCATTTCGCAAGACAGTTCTGAAAACCAGTACAAACAAAACAATTTCCTACTTTTCAAATAGGGAGAAACTAAAAATATTTTATTGTGTATATTTTTGTAGGTTTTTTTATTAGATAAAAACATTAAAACATTACCATTTACAGTGTGTAAAGCCTAAAAATGACATATGTAGTTCATATAAGGCCTTGTTCCAATGATCATACTCATTCACTAAAATATGTCATTGAGGAAATGCCATTGACCGGGGGGAAAAAAGAGAAAAATACATACATTTTATGTATATTCCACATATGCACTTCAGATTTTTGGCCATTTTCATACATTTTAAATATATTCGATAAATACACATTGTATCTTTTTTGTATGCTAAGGTGCAAGAGCTAATGTGCACCTTAAAGTGAAAGAGAAAGAGACAGTAAAAGAAAATTGGTAAATGCAGAAAATGAAGTAGAATTATGTTATATGCAGAATGTTTTTGCCTAAATATTGCAGAAAAGCTTGCTTTTAATAAGAAATCTGTCTTCTCTCAAGCCTTTAGTGAGGTTGGCATTTCTAAAATAATTATGCATCCTTCTTTTGGCCTTTAAAATCGTGCAGTTTTTCCAGTGAGTTCATAGTAGTAAATCAGTCCACATTGATATTTATAGCCTATTTTATGCCTCAACAGTTCCACAGCCCAAAATGCATATTCCTTAAGCCAGACACACTAAAACCTGCAGCTCAGTGGTGGCCTCTGTGCATAAAATAGCTCCACAAAATGTTTAGTGCTTATAGCCCTAAATGACTCACTCACTCGCTCAAGGTTTAGCAGGCTAAAGGTTGTCCACACTGGGGAGCTGTTAGCACTCCAGAAGCTTTGTTTGGACTTTTTTCTGTTATGGGAAATGTTCAATTGACAAAAGCCACTATACTTCTGCTACGTGTTGAGATGACAAAAACCAGCCCTGGAGATGCTATGAAAGAGTGGTACTTTGCACCAGTGACTCTGTGTGTCATTATTACAGATCTGTTTCAACTGATATTTCAAAAGCTGTGGTCTATTATAGCTCTGCTGGAGAGACCCACGTCTCCTGCTTCTCCCCGGTCTCCAGTGCTTGATGCTCACCTGGTTCCTTCCAGCCCTCTGCACCCCCCCAGCTGCCCTGGAACACCCCCAATACAGGATGAGGGCTGGAGACTGACAGGCTCACGCATGCCTTTGTCCAGTTTTACTACAGGTACACTGCCCATGGACAGCTTGAGGACACGTAGCTTTCCAAAAAACATTCTTAAATAAACAATAATGTTTTCTTTGCAATACCTTACAGAAAGTTACCTTGTTTATTTAGAGAAAAGCATACATGGAAATATTTCATTGCTATTATAAGAAAATTCATTTTGTTCTAATTTTTTTCACACCATTGGAAAACACCAGCTGCCCTTTACAATGTGTAAATATGCCATGATGAATGGACCAATTAAAATAAAATTTAAAAAAGGAAACATTACAAGTCACATTCATTTCTTCTTGAGCTATTGTTTCAGATATGCAACATTTTCTAATGACATCTGCAATTGGGACAATAGCTGAAATGAACTAAATCTCTCTTTATAACTATAACTGCTGAAAACACTTTTCTTTTTATGAACAGTGAGAAATGCCTGGGTGAAAAAACTGCAGTTAAAGCAGTTATAGCTATAGTTATAACTAAGAGAGGGATTTCTTTAAGCAGGTATAGTTACTCTTGTGCACGTTATTTAATTATTGTCATAAATATTTGTGATTTGTAAAAATATTGTTTTTCTTTAAATATACCTAGTTAAACTTTAACTTTGGTTAGACTTACTTTTACATTTATTCAAAATGTTTTAAAAAGCTAGATGTCCCCAGACCTTTCATGTTTAAGGTACATCTTCCTGTTTACTTGCCCATCACAACATACTGTGTAAATGTGCAATGTTTGACCTTGTCACAGTAAGTGTTTGTGTGTTTGCTGCAGATGCTAAGCGGAAGGCTGTGGATGGTTTAGACTCTCCTTACCACACTGCACCCAAACACCTGCCTTTACATGACAGAGGAGACAGTTCTCTGAAGCCTGGCCTGGACAGAGGTGATCCTATAGCAACAGAAGAGCAAGATGGGCTAGAGCCTTCTGTGGCTGTGCCCCGGGAGAGGGGAACTGGAGGAGGTTCGGACAGAGACCACTCCTCTGACGAGCTCAACAGCAAGTTCCGCTCTCAGCGCCTTCGCTCTTCTTCCTCATCATCTTCCTCTTCCTCCTCTGCCTATGAAACCACTGGCCCTAGTGGCTTTGACACACCTACCCCAACTCCCAAAAGCCCTCTCCCTATGTGTATCCCTTCCTCTGTGGGCCGTGGTCCTCAGTCAGGCACCAGTATGACTTTGCCCAAAGTGCGCACCCCTCTGACACCCCGGGACAGCATCCAACTGGTAAAGAAGCACCACAGTCAGCCCCAGCCAGGCCTGGAGCGCCTCCACCAAGTCAACGTAAGCATAGATATTGGATCCTGCCTAGCCTTGTCATGCCGCAGCCTGGCCCCAGCTTCTGTATCGACACCGGGAGTGGAGGAGACTGACATTGATGAAGGACCGCCCGAGAGCATGGAGGGGGTGGTGGAAGGGCCAGCTGCAGAAACTGTGCCCCATGATGGAGTCTCGTTTGTGGGATTGGCTGAGGAGCTGGAGATGCTTGATACGGAGGCTTTGAAACCACCAACACCACCTCTGCACCGCTTTCCTTCCTGGGTAGGATAGGGAACAAGAGAAACTAGGGATGTGATATGAAAGATGAAGGAATAGTGATAACAATGCATTGAAGATAGTAGGCACTAATTAGCATGCTCTCAATTGCATCATGCTGACTAAACTATCCTTTAACTATCCTTTAATGGACAGTTCCTTTAATATACCTGCTATATTTAGCCTGGGCCAATCCTTTGTCAAGGATCCTTTATTTACTCCTGGCACATGTTCAAAAGTTGAAAAGCCTTTGAAATGCTTGCACTGGGAATAGAAAACAACCCAGCATCCATTTAAAATACCTGTAGTGCCAGTGATTTCACTGTGGTTAAGCCCCTTTTGTCATAATATAGTTAACCTAGTAGCATATAAAACGTGAGGGCACAGCAAACAATTGGGTTTCATCAGCACATTCAATATTCAGAAGTAAATGCAGGCTACATCACACATGTTAGAACAACTTGAAATGTGAAAGTATTCAAGACAATATAAAATTGTCAGTTAAAAAAAAATAGTGCAAAAACACAAAACATAGTTTAAATTGTGTCTCATCTTCCTCACACTACACATGATGTGATTTTACAGTACCATTTTCAATGAATTATATGCTTTGTATATGATACGTTAATTGGCTTGGTTTTACTAACGTAAATCGACATTGTGGGCTTGTGCTATGTATGTAAAGACAAATATCAGCTCAGGGCTTGGTATCAGCTGATAATCAGTATTAAATGACTCAGTTTACGATTACGAACAAGAAAATTTAAACTTGAGACTAAAATGTATTCTGTATTTATAAAAAGCACAGACTGAATCAGACAAAGCTTATGCTCACTCCTGCGTTGTTATTGACTGTCATCTTGTGTTCTGCAGGAGAGCCGCATCTATGCAGTGGCAAAATCTGGCATGAGAGTGTCTGAGGCAAGCCCTGGAGCCAGAAGTACAGGGAGAGGTCAGATAACCAATTATTAACAAATACCAGTCCAGCATTAACCAATCACAATCATTCATCTCTCAGTCACCAAACAGTTACCAGCAACACCACTCCATCACCAGCCCAAGCACCACACCCCACTCACATGGTGCCATCGTAAACAGATGTGCTTTGGGGGGGGATTGTGCTAGAATGTGTCTGTGATTTTGCTCCTCTTGATCTGTCAGTGAGAGGCCAGGGTTTGTTTGATGTCACTTCCTTTCACCTGGGGGAACACATACACACCTGTGCAGGTGAGGCCACCATTCATTGAAGCTTTTAGAAGCTTTTAGAGGAGTGTCAGAGTACAGGGTGAGAATGGAAAAGCTTCTTTCTAATTAACCTTGATGAAAGGACGAAAGCAGTATGTAATTATCACTCCCTCCCCTCCTTCTCTCTCTACCAACAAAGAAGAGCAATCTGTAGAACTGGGTTACAGATTCTTAACCTGATCCATTGCCCTTAAGAGTCAAGTTCCAAAATGAATCCAAAGCTGGATTAGTTTTACCAGAGGGTGTTCTGCAATGTAATTTGTGGGATTTGACTGTCCGATTTATACAGGATATAGGTTCTATGTCTTTTCTCCAAATTCCCACAGAAAAACGTAAAGAATTAAAACATCAAGGCCTGGATGTACATTTCAGTGAGGTGCCTCACTCAAAAACAATAACAACACTGACATTACAGACATTACATACTCCAGACAATCATAAGCTCTGTTCACACTTTTTACTTGCGTTATCATTTTAGCTGGTCATAAGTGGACAGTGAGATGTATAGTCATTTGCAAATGTCATCTCCATATGCCTCGAGTATGTTTTCAGTCACCACATGTGATCAGATATTGTGACTGGAGGAAGGATGCCACACACACTTTCAATTGTATTCAAAAGTTTGAACATCCCTGGTAAAATTACATGTCTTGTTCATGTTCTCTAAATGAAAATAAGTTACACATCCTCTACAGACAACAAACCTAAATATTACATTATTCAGCAAATTTGCTGAAACATTTGAGAAAAAAAACATACAACAATATTTGCATAGGCCACAGTTTGTGTTTGTTTTTTCCAATATGTTACATTTAACAAATAAACAGTAATGGTGATATGAAATGTGCAGGTGTTCTCTAGTGTTCTCTGTAGAGTAAGTACTTCCCTGCATTTGTAAGCAGACAGAAATGTACAGTGAGTAAACATTTGTAACTGCTTGTACATGTGCATCAACAAGGTGTTGATGCACATGTACAAGCAGTTACAAATGTTTAAAGCGCATTTATGAACAAGTGGGAGAGGAGATGTAGAATGCAGCTGCTTTTGTTTCTGCTGTGATGACATAGTTGATTTATCATTCCTTCAGGATGCTTTTCACGTTCACACTACAAATATGTGGCCATATCCGTCCCTGATCACCTTCAAAGGTGATTTAAATGACACATTGGGCCCTGTGCACACCTGTGTTTAGCTCTGTCCACTTATGATCAGATCACCCAAGATGTATGTTAATACCAGAGATGAAAGGAGCCAAAGGTGTTTAGAATATGAATATTAGAACCAGCTTCTTAAAACCTGGGGTCATGGCTAATCTCAGCAGGCAGGAAGCAGTGTTGGACACCTTGTAGAATGTATTGTCTATTTTTCTTACTGTGACAGTCTGCTTCACTGATGTTTTTTCTTGTCACATTCACCAAGCACCATTCAGAAAGGTCTTTTCATGAAGGTCTTTAAAGTCTTGATAATCTTAATCATAAGCAAGACATGTAGGCAGTACTTCAAGTAACACTGAATCAGTGAGATTATTTCATGATACCTTGTAAGGTGACAGCATTGACAACTATATGTAATATTGTACTGTGGCATATGGTACTGTATGGGCGATCCTATATATAATTCCTAAATATAAGGCCTAATATTCGCCATTAACAGCAAGTATGAGCCATTAACTATGGAAAATCATCAGTTGATCTATGTATTCTTGCAGTTTAAAGCAGAGATTTTTTGTATCTTATTTCTGAATGTAAATACATCCCTAAACACGCACCAATTATTACTAGCATGTTACACATACATAACTATATGCTGAGAAGCCATGGATCAGTCATAGTGCAATGCTGCCGTAGCCACCTTAGTGAGACTCCACCAATTCATTCTCTACCAAGTGGACAGGACCAAATTCCTGTCATGTTCTTTCTTGCAATCATGGTTCATGTCTAGCTGTATTTTATCCAGAAAAGCTAGGCAATGCAAAATGTAAAAAAAATGACTTTGCTCTACTGTATTTTTCAGTAATGTTCTTTTAGTATTGTCTTTCTAAATGTCATTTTTGATTAATTGTACTCTGCAGTATCCACTCTGCCTCAGTACCCTGCAGCTGGTCCTTTCACACATCTCATCTACAAGAACATCAGTGTGCCGGTCTACTCCACACTCAAAGGGGTGAGACAGTGCATTCATATTTTTATCTTAGTGCCTACAGTTCATCAGTTGTCACATCAATAAGGTGTCCATTGGTAGAGGGTGAAATTGTCTTCACTGTATGCCGTGTATGTGTGTTCTGTCCCAGAAAGCCACTCAGATCAGTAGTGTTCCTCTCCCTGATGATGACTCAGGTTCAGAGGATGACAGCAGCTCGCTGGCCAGCCTGCGCACATCAGCAGTGGGGCCAGAGAGAAAGGGCAGCACCCCTGGAAGCCCTCGTGCTGTGAAGAGAGGTAAGGAAGTTTAATGCTACTTGGGATATGTTACTTTTACCAGGAAAAGTTCTGTAACATAATCTGTTAAGGATTTGACTATCCAGTTTGTATGGGATAAAGTTTCCGTAAATAACTCAGATAAATTGAGATATCGGTGTTATGCTACAGGCAGCATGCTCAATAACAATAACAATACTGCTGTGTCAATAAAAGGTTTTGTTATTAAATTACAGTAAGGTCAAGTGTGCAGTACTACTATTATAAGCTTGTAAAAACTACAGATGTTGCTGATTAATACTAGATTGAAAATACATATCTTATTGCTAATTACTTGAATTATAAAAAATTCTCATGTAAGACTAATCCACATAAGCTATAAAAGGGCTTATGACTATCTAAAATTCCTTTCGACCCATTTATTAATTTCCAGAAAAGTTGCCGCCTTCTCTGGGCCTGAGCTCATTTAAAATGGACTGACGGGAAGTGGAAAAGTGTTATGTGGGCCGACGAATCAAAATTTGAAATTCTTCTTGGAAATCATGGACGTTGCGTCCTCCGGGCTAAAGACCGCTCAGCTTGTTATCAGTGCACAGTTCAAAAGCCAGTATTCATGATGGTATATGGGGGCATTTGTGCACATGGCATGGGTAACTGGCACATCTGTGAAGGCACCATTATGCTGAACGATGTATACATGTTTTGGCAATATATGCTGCCATTCAGACGTTGTCTTTTTTAGGGAAGGCCTTGCTTATTTCAGCAAGACAATGTCAAACCACATTCTGCATGTATTACAGCAGCATGGCTCTGTAGTAAAAGAGTCCGGGTGCTAAACTGACCTGCCTGAAGTCCAGACCTATCACCCACTGAAAACATTTGTCACATTATTAAACAAAAATATTTTCCTTTAAAAAATATGAAAACATGATTTGCAAATCATTGCATTCTATTTTTATTTACATTTTGCACAGCATCCCAACTTTTTTGGAAATGGGGTTGGCAGTGCTATCCACAGAAAGTAAAGGTTGGACTAGTAGTGGGTGGTATAGCCAAAAACCATCATATAATTCAAGTTTCTGATGGTTTCTGTACATATATTTTGAAATAAAAGCATTTCAGATGCTAAAATCTACTTAACAGTGTTAACAGTGGCTTATTGTTCAGGGATATCTTTCACTTTTTAATAAGAAACATTTTAAACAACTAAAGTAAATCTGAGACATTTTAGTGTGTAAAACAGTAAAAACAGAACTGAGCAATATATAGATAAACCTATGTCAACATTGCTTTCTAAAACAAGCCCTGCAAGTCTGGCAAAAACAGTGCTAAATGTTGTTTCATGTCTGAATTTCTCCAATGCTGAAGTTGGTTTCCTGTTTGGCAGCTTTTTGTTTTTGTTCCACCTTTTACAATTCACATGTCTCATATGTAATTGAGAATATGGTGTGTTTTCATTTTCATTTGAAATGTGACTGAAACATTGATGGGCTAACATGAGCATGGTTGTATATCTCGTTATCTGTACTTATTTGTGGGATTACTTTATAACAGTTATGACAGCTTATATCTGGTTAAGAATTTCAACCAATATACCTGGTGAACTGGTATACATTTACCACCCACATCTAGGTAGAACAATATATTAATGGAGAGAAATGAAAAGATAATGTTGTGTAAATATATATGTGAGCAACTTTTTCTTACCTCCTTTCTCTTGTTTTCTAGGGGTGTCTATGTCTTCTGTCAGTTCAGAAAGCGATTATGCCATCCCTCCAGATGCCTATTCACTGGACAGTGACTACTCTGAGCCTGAGCAGAAAGTACAGCGCACTTCATCATACTCCTGCGAGAGCGTTGGACCTGTACGTCTCCTGCTAATATAATCACTCACTTATCACTCTCTGTTTCTTGTCATGCTTTTGATTACAGTGATTTGTGTATCACTGGAACATGCAGATGTGCAAAGGTTGAGGTGCTGATGTGTGTTTGTGTTTCTGTAGGAGACTCTAGAGAAGTCAGGCTATCTGCTGAAGATGGGCAGCCAGGTGAAGGCATGGAAGAGGCGCTGGTTTATCCTGAGGAATGGAGAAATCCTGTATTTTAAATCTCCAGTGAGTAAACACTGACGCTCTACAGCACTGTGCCAGCTTTTGAGATAGTGGTAGACTTTGTTTCAAGCCCTCTGGTCTATTTCTAGTCTGTGGTGTTTGGCAGGAAAATAGTGAACAGATGGACCTGATATTCTGGGGAAATGGAGTGAGGCAGCGTAGTTGCAGGAGCAGCAGAAGAGGACATGACAGATATAATACACTGTAACAGTGGTTCTCAATAACTTTGTTCATCACCAGTCTTTCTGTCAAATTTCTGTTGCAATGGTATTGTGGTGGCACTTCCCCCTGCTGCTCTGCATATGGGGAGAGGACATTGTTTAGCTGGGGTGCCACTGGGCTCAGTTTAGTTATGGCATTGTGGAAATTCAAGTTTAGTGCACTGTATATTTTTTTAAATTTGGGTTCACTGCAGTGTCACTCTTCTTCACTGTTATCTCTTCAATATTATGAGCAAAAACAGAGTAGCTGCGTTAGAGAAGTTCTTATGCCTTTATTACAAAAAGCTACAGAACATCAATTGCGTGTACCACAATCATGAGTTCCACTGCGTATAATGTAGGGGTAAGAAATCTATGGTAGGTCTTTCCGAAGGAGCCACATATTCAGAAGAGAATTAACAGGAGAGCCACATTTACAGCAGATCACTAATGGTCTACCCATTTAAGAAGTCTCTTCTCACAACATACAGTGCATCTCTGAAAGTGATACATGGATCCCATGTGCTTGTTGACGAAGCCTTTACACTAAGCACACACAAGAAGTGTAGCACCACAAGGCAGAATTATTCTCCGTGAGCAGGTAGTGGGTACACTTACAGGACTAATGATGTGTTGTTTGGTTCCTTTGTGCTCTCAGAGTGACGTGATCCGAAAGCCTCAGGGCCAGATTGAGCTCAACTCTTCCTGTCGTATAGCCCGCGGAGAGGGAGCACAGACATTCCAGGTGAGAAACATGCACATTTCATTTTGCTTCTAAAACCCTTTAACAAAATCTGTCAACCATGAGTTTACCATCAAAAGATGCTGTAGGTAGTCTGTCTGCTTGATGTTTTAAGTTTTGTTTGAGCAGTGTTTTTGTCATAGAAATGAGTGTTTATCCTTGGAGTGTTTATATTATTGGATTACCAGAGTTGCCGTGGTAGCAATTATGTTTAATACTCTTAAGTCATTATACACTAGTTATCTAATCTTTCCACCGTTTGGAAATCCCCTTTCGGCTCTGAACTTCTGACAGTATTAATGTGTTTAATTTCTGGGTCAAAATGTAACAAAAATGGTCTGTTTGTGTGTGTGTGTGTGTGTGTGCTAGTTAATCACAGAAAAGAAGACATTCTACCTGACTGCAGACTCCCCCAACATCCTGGAGGAGTGGATCAGAGTTCTCCAGAGCATTCTTAAAGTCCAGGCCAGCGGACCCATCTCAGTAGAGACGCAAACTAAGCCCACAGTTCGGGGCTGGCTGACTAAGGTCGGAGTTCACACACTGTGCACACTAAGCCCTCTGATTGCTTAGCTGAGGGCTAGAGTTTCCGCCACAGCATTCTCAGGACACCAACTATCAAACACTTAAAGGGTTTATTTTCATTCACCCGAGAACAGCTGTTTGAAAGCATCTGATCTGGTACGATTAGACTGTAATGCACATGGCTGTTATTAAACAGGATTTGTCAGGTTTCCGGTAGTTGCTTGTCTCCGGAGTGGGAGGTGGTCTGATTAGGCCAGGCTGTTTGTGAGTGGGTGTGTGTAAAGAGGGGGGAGTGTTGATGAGGTAAGGCTGAAGAGGCTCTGAGGAAGATTCCTGGGTGACTAGCACACGTTCAGACAGAACTGAGGTCAGCATGCCTGGAATTTTACTAAAGCACAGAACCTTTTCTCAAGCTGTGTGTGCTCTCTAGCATGTGTTTGTTTTTGTACATTTTTGGGGCATAAATGTGGTGATTTCATAGGAAAATAGGGGTAACCTACAATGTGAAAACCAAGAGAATGATTTTGACTTTGTAAAGCATTTGGCACTGTTGGAATAAAACTTTGTATTGCTGAAATTTATATTTACAGAGGAAAGATAAGAGCTTCTTCACTTGTAATGTATGTTTATATACTTCAAATTGTTTGGGACCATTCTATTGGTTCATTCTTCATGAACTGTCAAATGTCAAGGGCAGCTGGCATTTTCAAATGGTGTAAAAAAAGGTTTTAATAGGATGCGACACGAAAAGTGTTTTACTGACTTACTTTCTTTGTTATTTAAGGGGGTTTAAGTTAGGTTAAGTTAGGTTTAGGATTAGGCTATACTCTTATCACATATAGGCACTGACATATTGTTGCTTTCCAAAGAAAAACGTATATCTCCAAAATAGCACAGGAGAAGGCATAAACATTCTTAACTTTTAATGCAAGTTTATGTTTTGGAGCATTTCTGCTGGTCCATTCATTATTTTTTTTTACATAATGAAAAGGTCATCTGCGGTGATGAAATGATCAGAAAATGAAAATTGAAACAAATGGAAGTACATGTTTTTTTTGGACAGTGACTATGTGTCAAAAAGGGCTTAGTGGCTGTTTTGAGTGGAAATCACATAAATAAAGGGTCTCTGAATTGTGCACAGTGCTCTAGGTACTTTAAAAATACAATACACCAGGGACATATATATTACTTCATGTCCTCACATTGTATAAAAACAGACTTTTGTGTATATGCATGCATGACCTCACCACATCAGAGGAGCGTGGCTGTGCATCTCCAACAGCTGAGTGACAGCTGAGGCTGTAATGTATGGCCTTTTCCTGTGTGAGGGCTTTGATGTGCTCTGTGAGAATCCACTGCTGTTCCTTCTCTGGCTGTAATTTGTGTGTACATCTGTGTACAGCTGGTGGTGTTGACACATTTGTGAAGTAACCATTGCCCTTCTACGTGTCTTTTTTTTTTCTCCTCACCTCTCACCTCCTTCTGCCTCTCTTACCATCTCTGTTCTTCTTTCTGCGCCTTATTTAATCTGTAGGTTAAACATGGCCATTCAAAGCTAGTGTGGTGCACTTTAATAGGGAAAGTTTTCTACTATTACCGCAACCAGGACGACAAGGTGAGCTAATTCTAATCTCAATTATTTAATATGTTGTTTTTTTTTTATTTTACTGTTTTGTCCTGTTGCCTGAAATTTTGCTGGTATATTGAGTCATGGTGTGTGTATGTGTGTGTGTGTGTGTGTGTGTGTGTGTACATCAGTTCCCATTGGGCCAGCTCCGTGTGAGAGAGGCACGAGTGGAGGAGGTGGACAGGTCATGTGACTCTGATGAAGATTATGAAGCAGGAGGGCGTGGCTTTCTTTCTTCTCACTGTACACTGGTGGTCCATCCCAAAGAGCAAAGCCCCACCTACCTGCTCATTGGCACCAAGCAAGAAAAAGTAATATTCATATTACACCACTTAGTAAATGGTTAAAACCAGAATATACATAGATGATCGGCTACAGAGGGCTTTTTCATACCATATTTTTATATCATACCTACTCATGAACATAACGCTGACTTTTAAAGTACATGTAACTGAAAGCCGTGCAAGGACCTTAAATAGAGCCTGGCCAATTTTGTGACTGATACAGATAGCAAATTTAAGGGGAATTCCACTCATTTTTCAGATGTAAATAAATCATTTAGAGTGGTTTAATGAGGAATGGTTTATTGTAAAGAGACTTACAGACTTGGATTTCCTTACAGTGGTGGTGATAGGAACCAGGGGTCGCCATGTCTACAACACAACATAGCCATTTCATTTACTATCCAAAACAGTGAACCTACATATTTTTATATGTAAATGTTGATGATGGTAAATCTGAAAAAAAAATTCTTTGGAGATTTTTTTCCTTATAATGTTCTGCATGTACCTCTCTGCCATGAATGAGTTTTAAAAAATATGTTTTTGGCCTTGAAGCTTGTCTCAGGCATAAGGCAGTGTGTTCATAACTATTCCATGTAATAACTCAGGTAATAACTGAATAACTGAAGCTTTTAGAGGTTTTAAACTCTTCAGACGTCTGGTTCCTATCACCACCACTATGAACAATTCTGACTCAATAAGCTGTTCTAGAACAGAGCATTTCACATCAAACCACTCTGAATGCCTTTGTTTACATCTTAAAAATTTAATTATAAATTAAAAAAAAATAGAATTCCCCTATAAGGAGCTAAAAATTCTACTAACTGATAATATTGGTTGATAAAATGTATAAATTATAAGCTTATTGTTCTTGTTTTTTATTTCTATTTATAGAGATTTAACAGAATTTATGTTATGTTATGCTAAAGGTTAGTTTTGGATGTTTTTTTTAAATCATGATGGTGTTCTGCTGCTGGCTTAGCTATGTTTTTTTGCTGTTAGCAGATTTTTTGCCTGTGCTGATAAATCTGTGGGACATCAACCAATTTAAATAAATTTGAAACAACAGAGTCCCTAGGTTTTGTTAACATTGTATGGGTCTAGGAAGATGTTCTAAGAAAAATAAACATCTGAGTTGCTTTTCATGTGTGAGTGTGCTCAAACTCCTTCTTCTCTGTGTCTTTCTCTCAGGACACCTGGCTGTACCACTTGACAGTGGCAGCAGGCAGCTGTGCTAGTCTTAAAGTGGGTACAGAATATGAGCAGCTGATCGGCAAACTGCTGGATTTCGGATGGAGACCCAGGTGAAAGAGCATTTTGGAGTGAACCTCTATAAAAGTATCTCTATTAAAGTGGGCACAAATGTTTGGTGTCCTGCCATGTAACAAGCAGGAGGGGTTTGTTGTGTAATGTCGTTTTAAATTAAAGCTGACAGTTTCAATGACTCCATGCAGACCTCAGACAGTGTTTATGGCCATTCCCTAGGGTTTGAAGTCAGCTGTCATGCCATTTTAATTTGTAACTGAATCTTCCCATGGTGTGTGTGTGTGTGTGTAGACTCTTCACTGTGGAAACACGAGGTGCTGTGCTTCAGTAAGGACGGCCTGCGATCACCTCTGACCACTCTGCCCTCGGAGGCACTTCAAACAGAGGCACTCAAACTCTTTAAGGTTTGCATGTTTTCTTTCTTTCACCCTCTCAGACCCCATCCACAGGTATACAGGTATTTTTGGAAATATAAGTCTTTTTTTGCTATGTGGATGTGTAAAACGCTCTTTTTGATTTTTTGGCTTATATCATGGTGTCACCTTGTGCATATTCACATTATATTTTTCTTTACTGCATTGAGCATACTTTAAGACTCAGGACTCAGAATTTAATGTCTTTGGTTGTAGCGACGATGACGATCACAAACAAGTAAGAAAAATACTCCTCTATTACACAACCGGAGAGTGAACAAAAATTTAAACGTAACACACAATTGCTTAAGTCACATTTAACTGCCTGTGGGTATTGGCTAATTAACTACAGGCCTACCTTTTACAGCACTAGGTGTAGATTTTTACAGCCAGTATTTTAAGACTGCCATTTTCTTTTTTTCCTTTACAAAAAAACCCACAGTATTGATACTGGCTAGCTAGGTATGTACTCGCCTATGCCAGGAATAAGCACACTACAATCAGGAGAAAGGGTCAAGCAGGATATGCTGTATTTACATGTTGGAAAAAATGAGTGTCACTCGATTAGTTTTTGTAGAAGTGGTGTTAAACAGCAATGGTACGCATCTGATGCCATGTAAATGCTACATAGTGATAGCTGCCAAAAATTGATGATAATCAGTGGAGAGCATCGACAGTCTGTATTATTTATTCTATTTTATTTATATTCAACATAAGTGACAAACTGTATCAACATTTTATCTGCGTCAACTTTAAATTATTAGCTAATTACTCTACAAGGCAAAATGAAATTAAAGCCAAAATAGGTGCTGAGGCATGCCTCTCCATGGGTTAAAAGCCAAAACAATTTTCTTAAAAAAAGTCAATCAGATTTCGTGCATGTTATTTATTGGATGTTATATAGCTTCATGTGTTTTGCAGCTTGTGATAATTAGTAATGTGTTTATGTCTGCAGCACACTTGCAGCTTATTTGTTGCCTGCCCATCTGCTTTTACAAGCAGCCAATAATTGTCCAAGCCCGCTAGACCCAGCTAGCCAAAATGCACCCCAACACGTGCCCACAACCTGTTGGCTGTTTACCCACAATGACCACAGTGCCTCAAAACAAATCCTGCCTGCAAATTATTTTGCAGATCACGCGAGTCCCATGGGTGAGCCTGCCTTGTGCAGATCTCTATTTAGCAAACAGAAGATTCATGTGGGCCACCCTATAGCAATAACACTGCTGAATTCCCCTTTTGTTGTAATTTGTTGATTTTTTGAGGCTTTTAGATTTAGCCGCTGTATGGTTGCATTTGCAACATGCCATCATGCCCACTCTTCAACTTTGTGCTCTACATTTCATGCAAAACACAGGCTCATAGTATGTTTCTCAAGATATTTGACCAAATTTGAAGACATTTTATAAAGTATTATTGCTTCATCCTGGGCTGGCATGCTCTTATGAGTCTTTTCAAGTTGTTTTTGTGTATATGAATGGACAATGGCAGGGTTTTTGTGTGTACAGTGGCGGGGGAAAAACATGTTTTTAAAAAAAATATCCGGGTACGTGTGGATGAGACACACACACACACACACACACACACACATATACACACGCACACACACAACCACTTTGCTCTTTCATTATGGCCTCTTATTCTATTTCTGTTCTTTTTCTGTGTTCTCTTTCTGTTACTACTTCTCTCTGTCCCTCTTACATATAAATGTTCTTTTCTTTGAGGGTCCTCTTGTTCTCTCTCCTGGCCTCCGTTGACTTACTCGTTATCTCCTCCACACTTCTTTTATTTTTTTATCTCTCCTCTTTTTTGTCCTTCATCCCCTCTTTAGGGCTGATAGTGTTGCCCAGTGTGTTCTCAGAGTAACAGAGAGAGCAGCTGTCTCTCCCACAGTCACATCAAAGGCAGAGCTGTGAGGCCCGCAACTCATTAGAGCAGCATGAGAAGATAATGGGCTGGATTAAGCACTGATTGAGACAGAGCTCCTCAAAAAAACACTGCCTCAGCTCGCTGTATAGAGTACCGCACCAACACTGTACAGCAAGAAAAACGTTCAGCTTGGGCTCAAAGAGGAACTATAAATTTACTCTGGTCTACTCCAGTTGTCTTTTTACTCCATAACTCATCGCTTATTTTGTTACCACTTTTTTCTTCTGAACCCCAGTGGCCTCGCCTTGAGGTTTACACAGTTGACATAGTTTGTATTCAGCTCTGTACACCCACTGGGCTAGCTGCACAGGTCTTTTTTAAAAGAAAATCAGGCCTTTATAATAACATTTGATACTAGGGTAGAAAGCCTCCCACTCGGTAATGGAGGGCTGTTAGACAGCTACATCCTGACTTGATTTAATTTACATTGTAATTTCTGTTGGAGCATAAATGGAACACTAATGGGAAAGAAAAACTTGTCCCATGCGCATACTAACCGCAAAGCAAACTTTGTACACAAGCATACTGGATGTGTGGAGCCTGCCATCTAGTGGCAGAGCAGATGAATGACAGTATTACTCTCTGAAGTTAATGTGATAGTGCTGATAAGCTCAATGAAGAATATTAACTCTGATTGCAGAGAGTCTATTGCTTGAAGGATCAAAGGGTCCATAGCACATAAAAACATTTAGTTGTAAAACAGAACTAAGTACTTATTCTACAACGTCAAAGCAAGGAGTTACCCAAATATCTGTAGGTGCTTGTTTTCAGAAAAAAACAGAAAACGTATGTTCAATAGAAAATTACACAGAAGACCAAACAACTAAATATATCTATTTTTTCAGTATTCATGTTCATCCTTTGCCTTTAGTACAGATTTCATTCTTTTCAGGAGACTTGCTTTCAGTTTTTCAGAGAAATCTGCAGTGATATTTTTCTATTTTCAAAGTTCACTCTTAGAAGTTGGTTGCATTTTCTGCTTTTTAAAATCTAAATAATGACAAACACATTTAATGATGTCGAGGTCTGGACTTTTCAGTCTATTTCCTTTTCTCAGTAATGGCTTCTTGACAGCTATGCATCCTTTTAGACTCATAGCATTGAATTCTCACATAAATTAAAGCTTGCTGTTTAACTGATGGTTAAAGTTTGAGTGTCTACCAGGTCTTTCAAGGTTGTTACGAGTCCCATTTTCTCTGTATCTTTTAATAATTTCTCAATTTATCATTTATTTAATTTCATTTTATTTAATTTATTCCTTGGACTTTTCCCTTCCTTAACTTATATCTAATCTCTTCTGAAAAAAAATCTTCTACTTAATGGCTGTCTTGACTGGAAATAAATAAATGAAGGGTAGTCTCTGAATTTTGCACAGTACTGTAAGTTACTGCAACCTTGAATTAAGAATAAATGTTTAGCATAATCTTAGAGATATGGGGTCAGTACAGCTCCTCAGCTTCTTTAGTGTTTATTATGAGGTGTGCTGTATTATGTTCTATATTATGATTGTATTCTGCTGTTATTGTGAGCCTGTTTCTCACTGATCATGTATCGTAGGCTACCTTTCTTTCTGCTTGGCCCTTATACTTGTTTTCGGCCCTTAGCCCTGCCCCCAGTACTGTTCAGAGCAAAGATATGCCCATAAGACATCTTAAAGATGCCTTACTCACTCATCGCCGCGCATGGTGGTACTGACAGCATGATTGACAGTTATATCTTTGCTGTGAGTCATGAATCAGTATACAACCCTGTTTCCAAAAAAGTTGGGACACTGTGCAGAATGTAAATAAAAATAGAATGCAATGATGTGCAAATCATGTAAACCACATTTTTAAAGGAATGTACTACAAAGACAACATATCAAATGTTGAAACTGAGAAATTTTATTGTAATATGCACATTTTGAATTTGATGCCAACAAATTCCTTAAAAAGTAATTAATGGTCAAAATGTAAAGATCTAATGGCCATGGGCCCTTTTCACAAAGAGTCACGATTATGTCCGGATTAAGCATTAGCAGTGAACTATAATGCTCAAATACTGAGCTACAACAGACATATGTTAGTTTTCGTGCACTATCATGACAAAATGGCCATTAGATCTTTACATTTTGACCATTAATTACTTCTTAAATTCCTCTTACTTAACCATTAATTACTGATTTTGTGTTGTCACTTTACTTGGAGGGACACAAAAGCAGTAATTAATGGTTAAGTAAGAGGAATTTAAGAAGTAATTAATGATTAAGTATGAGGAATTTAAGAAGCAATGAATGGTTGATTAAGTGGAATTTAAGAAGTAATTAATGGTCAAAATGTAAAGATCTAATGGCCATTAATCATCAAAGTAAAAAAGAACACCTTTTTTTTGCCTTTTATACGGTATGAACTGCTCTGCGTCTGATTCATAACAGTTTTGTATGATGTGGAAACAAGTGGAGATTTGAGCATAAATGATAAATCAGCTTCAGTGCATGAAACCAGCCTACCAGCACCTCATTTACATATCATTTACATGAAGCACACACTAATTTATGCAGATGTTTCAGTAGCCAGCCAATAAAACGGCAGTGTTTGGCATGAAAGCTAATGGCCATGCTCGTGGGTGGAGTTTGATGTCCAGCAGTGAGTGCACTCCTCCGCTGCTGACCAAACTTCTTAGTATTAAAATGAAAACAACTGGAAAAAATAAAATGTGAAATAAAACAAAATACTCAGTGTTGTTAACACAGTAGAGTGATTGTTTAGTGTAATTAATTCCCTAAAATAAACGCTGTATTATTGCAGTGTATGACCGAAGCTGTGTTTATGAGTCAGTAGTATGAAACAAAAGCACAGTGTAATGTGTCTTTAAATGGAACATGAAATAGTTGCAGCACTTGTTCATATCAATGTGCATGTAAAGTAAGTACATCCACTTTTGTACTGGACTGTCATGCACACAAATTAGTATTATTGAAATTTTCTATTGTTGTTCTTATTTTTGCAATTACAGATTATGTTGATAATAGTTTTGGTTAATTAGCCACATATCCAGCATTTATGCCCAAATTTACATGCACTCCTACCAGATATGAGTACAGATATGCCAAGATGAACGTGATGAATAACAAAACCGTCCATGAATTTGTGTGCGTCCCTTCACAGATGTGCACGTCACCCATGCCATATGCACTAATGCCCCCAATACCATCATGAATACTGGCTTTTGAACTGTGCACTGATAACAAGCTGGGTGGTCTTTAGCCCAGAGGACACTTTTCCACTTCCCGTCAGTCCATTTTAAATGAGCTCAGACCCAGAGAAGGTGGAAGCGTTTCTGGATCCTGTTTATATATGGTTTCTTCTTTGCGTTTTGGAATTTTAACTTGCGTTTGTGGATGCAACCAAACTGTGTTCACAGGCAGTTTTTTTTAGAATTTTTTCTGAGCCCATGCATTTCCACTAGAGACTCATGTCTGTTTTTAATGCAGTGCTGCCTGAGGGATTTCTCTGGATTCTTTGAATCTTTTAATGTTATTGTATATTGTAGATGATGAAAAGCAAAAGCTCTTTGCTGTTTTACATTGAGAAACACTGTACAATTGCTGCACTTTTGATCTTTCAGAGTGGTGAACCTTCTGAAAGACTCAGCCTCTCTGGGATGTTTTTATATACCCAGTCATGTTACTGACCTGTTGCCTATTAACTCCCCAGTTGTTTTTTTTAGCATTACACAACTTTACCAGCCTTTTGTTGCCCCCGTTCCCAACTTTTTTGGAACATGTTGTTTATATAGAGGAAAGCGCCAACCGCCAGATCTGTTACGTCAGCTAACATCATTGCATTTTGTTTTTATTTACATTTTGCACAGCGTCCCACATTTTTTGGAAATGGGGTTGTATAATTTTAAATGAAATAGCTAGAAAACCATTTGCACACACAGATAATTATGATCAGAAACATTTTATGTTATTTATCTCTTCCTTCTTAGTCCTGTCAGCTATTCATCAATGTTCTGGTGGAAGCGCCCTCCATAGACTACCACACCTCACTGGCCCAGAGTGCACTACAGGTCTGTCTGACACACACTGAGCTGCAGAATGAGATGTACTGTCAGCTCATCAAGCAGACCAACTGCCGCACGCCCAGCAACTACTCTCTCACACAGGTCAGACACATGCACACACAGTGCCTCATTGGTTTCATCCCAAATGGCTCCCTACTCTCTATGTTGTACACTATGTAGGTTAGGGGTGTCCAAAGTCTGCGGCATTTAGTCAAGACTACAGCCACAAAGCACAAACTCAACACTGAGAACCAGCAAGTTTAGCGAGATGGAAATTTGAATACTTTTTCATGAAGAGCGACAACAAGTGTGCCCTCATATATCAAAAGACTGTAATGAATTTAATATCAGTAGACAAACAAAGCATGGACATTACAAAAAATATTCAGGAGAGAAAGTAAAGCAATTACAGCTGCCTGAGTCTCACAGCACCAACTTCTTTTCAGAGCAAATTCAGTAGTTCAGTTAATATTAACCCTTTAAGGCCAGACAATAACGTGGCTGTTTATGCTGTTTAATCTGCCTTCTTGTTTAATAGACTGATTTCTGAATTCTGTTGCTGCATTCATTTGATATGTAAAGAACATGATCTAACAAAACAGTAAACACACTCTAAATTCTCTCGTGTCTTCCAGTGTTGGCAGCTGTTATCGGTATGTGTGGCCCTTTTCCTGCCCCAGCATCACTTCCTTTGGTACCTGAGGCAGTACCTGCAGAGAAATGCTGATCCCAAGTCAGTTGGAATGCATATTCATGTACATATAACCCCATTCTCAGTAAACACGAGGCTATGATAAATATGGCTGTGTATTGCTTACCAGGTTTGTCATGATCATAATATGTTAGCTTATTAATTCCATAAAATAAGTGTGATTAACAATTTAATTGCCTTTTTTAAACTATAAATTGTATTACAGTACCAGCCTAAAATGGCCCAGTTAGCTGATTATCTGTCTTGCTGCCTAGCTATCGATACTAAGTAGCTCCCAACAGACAACAGAAAGCTCAAATAAACAAACATTACTCACCACTACCCTCCTGTTGCACCAATCAAATGTTAGAACTTTTGTTTTCATAAGACCCATGGTGTGTTTCAATAAAGGTGGAAAAAGAGGAAGACACACCCAATTTAATTCTGTTTATTGCAACTTAAACTTATGATTGTGAAAGCTAACAACCATGGAAAATAATTGCAGTCAGCTCAAACAATTGTGATCAAATAATTATGTATTAATTGTTAAAAGGCCTATTCCTTATGCTGTTTTTTTATATTGTATAAATGCTGCCATAATAAATTGTGTATGTTCATGTTGCTCTCTGTGTTTGTACAGAAGTGAAGTGGGGAAGTATGCAGTGTACTGTCAGCGGTCAGTAGAGAGAGCGCTGCAGAATGGAGAGCGAGAGGCCAAGCCTTCTCGTATGGAGATTGTGTCTATTCTGCTAAGAAACCCGTACCATCACTCACTACCTTTCAGCATACCTGTCCACTTCATGAACAATACCTACCAGGTAAACACACGCAAACACACATAGTGATTTAAAAATATCTATCCCCTATCCTTTGGGACTATGAACAATTGACTATAGACCAAATAACAATACTGATTTTGTACAAGTCAATTTTTTTCTAAGGGTAATATGTCCAGTAACACTGAACAAAAGGGTCTGACTAAATGTCAGTGCAGCATTTGGTTCTTAATCTGTTTTGCTCCTGGTGATTCTCCTGCAGAACAGAAAAGTAGAAAACATATAGTTATTAGAAAATTACACAGAAGCCTCAATTACTACATATCCAATTTCTCAGTATTTTTTGTGTTCACACTTTGCCTTTATTACAGCTTCCAAACTTTTTGGGAGATTTCTTTTTTCCAAAGAAATCTGGTTTTCCAAAGAAATCTGCAGAGATATTTTCCCACACCTCCAAAGTTCAGCATTTTCTGCTTCTCAGTGATGTTGTGTTAAGGACTCTGTGGTTATTTGTTTGAGCTTATTTGTTTGATTTGATAAATATTTTATTTGTTTATTTCTTTTTCTCAGTAATGGCTTCTTGACAGCTACCCATCCTTTTAGACCCATAGCACTGAGTTGTTTTCTCACAGTGGAAAGATGAAAAACACCTGTAGATTTTTTTTTCGTTTCCGAAGCAAGAGTGGAGCTCAGAAATAACTTTAAGTACTGTTTATCTGATGATGACAATTTTGGTGATCTACCAGGTGTTGCACAGTTGTTAGGAATCCCATTTTCATGTCTTTTAATAATTTTTTCATAGTGGTCGAAATACCATTTTGAGGTAATTGGCATCGGCTGATGTCTGTGCTCACAAGGCCGATAATCAAAAAATGTCCGCAGACACGGCTGCAGGTAGTTTTTGTCAGTGTGGCTACTGTGGAACAACGGGCAGGTGTGCTGTGAGACAGTTGGAAACATGCCCACGTCCTGAATGTAACGTTTCTGGGTGAAAAAAAAACATTAAGACTTAAATTCCTAGCTTTATATTTCATAGCTATGTATTTAGTTGGCCACTCTTAATAATACATGTTTATTGTCTGTGTATAATTAGATTCTGGTCTTTTAGTGAGTGCAAATAACCATAGTTGGAAATTGTAATGTTAACGGTTGCAAACCTTCAACCAGCTAAACTAGCTTACAAGGCTCAAAAATCTATTGTTCTTGTCTCAAGTCAACAATGTGCTATCATAAGCGATTGATTTGATAGTTATAAGATGCCCAACATTAGTTACAGTCGGTTGCATTAGCTGATGGGCTAGAGATAGCCTTGATTTAACAAGGTGGCTTAGAGTCTGAAAGCCAGCGTTAGTGTGATTAACTTGTTTTGGGGAACAAACATACAGGAAGTCGAGTCAGCTTCTTGCTCTGATTTTTACCATTTCACCTTAAATGGAGAATGTAATTGCTGCACCATTTAAGGTGGAAAATTCAAACAAGAGGCTGGCAAATATAAAGCCAAAACTTCAGCCTTGTCACATAGTTTCTGCACTTGTGTGCATGTCTCTCTCCCCCTGTGTGTCTCTCTTTCTCTGTGTCTCTCTCCCTCTGCGTGTCACTCTCCCTGTGCGCATATCTCTCTCTCTGTCTGTGTGTTCGTCTGTGTTTCAATACATCAAACTAACTTGTCACAGTGTTTAATGACAGACAATAGTGGACTTGTGAGACAGAATCTCTGCTCTAGCACATTGTTGTCACCTGTAGTCACTTGGTAGATGATATGAACAGGATGTGTAATGCGCGAGAAAAAAATTATTAATTTTTTTAATGTGTTTGATTCCTTAGATTGGCTATATGGCTTGTAATCTAATGTGTCAACAAACGTAAACAAACATACAAAAATATGCGTTGGGACAGTTTTGGAAAGGTGGTGAAAAAGTTAGAGCCCTGTACTATAACTCTCATGCACCCTGCTATAAACATTTGCATAAATTTCATCAGTTACTATCGTCTTTTCTAAATGTTAACATGTTTTTCTAATCCTAAATAACAGCAAATCTAATCAAAAACCATTGCTAGCATTAAACATATATATATATATATATATATATATACATATATATATATATATATATATATATATATATATATACATATACACACATATATATATATATATATATATATATATATATATATATATATATGTATATGTATATATATATATATATATATATGTATATATATATATATAGATAGATAGATAGATAGATAGATATTATTATGTATAGAATAATGCAGTTGCCTGATGTAGACAGAGTGCAGATCTACTTAAACAAACAGAGACCATACAGACAATAACAGTGCTAATTTAATGCAATTTTGTGTCTCATTTATTATTATTATCATTATTATTATTATTATTATTATTAAATTGTTTTATCAAATGCAAAAAACAACAACAGCAACAACAAACAATAACATGATATTGGCATTGTATATTGGCCATCGGCCGCTCTGTTCTCTAACTATTGCCATCAGCCACTGAAAAGCCCATACTGGTCGGCCATTATTTTTTTAACTCCAGTTTTAGAAACTTATTTTACCTTTTTTGACTTCCCCCCCTTACTTATGCAAGTGGATTACCTTGTATCTAATCTCCTCAGAAATATCTCCTGAAAATGAAAAACTCATACTTAATCGCAAGTTTGATTTTAAATTTAATAAAGAAGGGTGGTCTCTGACTTTGGCATAGAATTGTACATAACCCTGATGCCAAAGACAAAACTTTCATAAACTGATTTCCAGAAAAAAACTCTTTGTTTCTGAATAGTGCTTTTTCTCTCTTTTCTTCTTGAATGCACTGTAGGTGGTGGGGTTTGATGGTTCCACAACAGTGGAGGAATTTGTGAACACGCTGAACCAAAGAGCAGGCATGAGGAAGCCTCAGCTCTCTGGCTTCGCCCTCTTCACCGACGACCCCTCAGGAAAAGACCTGGAGCACTGCCTGCAGCCTGCTGCCAAGGTAACACACTCTGTCACACTCTAAAATTGCTGGAATAACCATCGCTTAGCTTTTGGCCCATGGCTCACAGATGCAGGAACTGGCCCTCCACTGATCCATACAGTGGAAGACCGCATTGACTGTATTTACTGCTTTTTCAAGTAAACTTTTTTTTTGTTGTTTTTGTTAGATATGTGATGTGATCTCAAAGTGGGAACAGGCCCTGAAAGAACTGCAACCTGGGAAGTATGAGGGGACACGCATTGTTCGTTTAACATACAAAAGCAGGTATGGCATTAATATTTGTTTTCTCTCGTACATATTATAATTAGTGATGATACAATTATTTTCTGCCCCTGATTCTGATCATATAATATTAAACATCTTCCAATAACCTTACATCCTGATCTGAAATTTGTATTTTTGTAGATAATACTTCAAGTACTACTTCAAGTTTAAAATGCAAGTGTCATTCCACACTATCTCACCTAGGGGCTGTGTGGTCACATCATATATTTAAATCCCATTTAAAAAATAAAGCAAAAAATAAAGCAAAAACTAAATCATGTAAAGTTTCAAAGCTGTTTTTCAAGTAGTTTCTAGTTCTGAATTTGCCCCATCAGGTTCTAAATTGCATTTTAAGTATTGACATTAATTGTTTACAACATCATTGAACTGTAATACAACACCAGGAATAATGTTTCACTTTAAATCAATTGGTTTGATTTTAATAAATGCGTTTTACAGGTTAATCTACTAGAGGATGTACTTTTTTGTGTCAGAGCTCCGTAACACTTCATAATTATGCAATATTTCATCTTTGATTTTTAATCTTTTAGCTTTAAAAATTATTTTCTGCAAAATGTAGGTTTTATGTAGTGTGCCTACATTTTAGCAAATGTATTAATTATTAATTTCTCAGGATTTGAAACTACATCTTGAATTTAAAGACTACAAGGATGAAGAGGATGAAAAGAAAATACTAAGACATCTCTATCATCTGAAGTTTAGAGATGGCATCCTCCATTTTCCATCAAATCAAAAGGCAATGTTCTTTCCTGGGATACAGTCTTTCCCTATTACTATTCTGCTGATTTCACCTGAATTTCCATTTCCTGCTGCTGGTGTCACTGACATTTTCAAAATGCAGGTGATGTAAAATTGATGTCACCTGATATTCTCATAAATTTCAAGATCCTTCCTGCAGCTGAATGTAGAAAAAGTTGTACTAATTTGTATATTGTGCTTCAACACAATAAACTAAACCGTGAAAGAGTCATAGCATATCTATATTGTTGTAAGTTTGAAGGGAATAGGTTTAGTCGATTTAGGGACTAATATTTTTCTTTTTACATTTTTTTTTAAAGAAAAAAATACTGCAGAATTTAACATAAAAGTACATCCTCCATCCAGACATCCAGACTTTAAAACTACCTGGAGCACAGCTGTGAACCTTTGCAAGGTTTCATGACTTAAACTGAAATTTTCTTGAAATTTTTTGATCTGCCTACACATGGCTGGGCAGGGCTAAGGTGAGTTGACATGTATTGTTCCTACAGTAAATTATTTTGTATTTAGTATTCACATTGCGTGGCATCTTTTTGGACTACTTTTTAAAAAATATTTCGTATTTCAAGATTATCTAACTCTTACATATTCCGTGTAGCCTATATCTCTTGGACAAAAGGTGGCTAGCTTAACCGCAGTTATAAAAACATGCTTCATCATAAACGGTGGATGTTCTTCAGATCAGATCAGGAAATCCCTACATTAAATGAACTGTATTTAACATGCAAATATAACAGGTAGCAATAGGCTTCTGTGCTTTGTTGTCTAGGCTGTGGTTCCGAGCACAGGCGAAAGGGGAAACTGAGAGAGAGCGCCTCCTGCTGGCATATCAAGTGAATGAAGAGGTGCATCAAAGCCATTTTCCTGTCAACAAGGAGTTGGCCCTGGAGGTGGCAGCGTTAATGGCCCAGGTGTGCAAAAGTCGACTGTGTCAGAGTTTTTATGTCTGTGTGTTGAAATATGAAAGCCCTGTATGGTGTTTCTGTGGTGCAGGTGGAACATGGGGACTTGGATCGAACACCTGCATCTCCCAGCGGCTCTCCCCAGTCTAAGATCCAACAGATACTGCTGCAGGTTCTGGAACGGTTCTATCCCAAACGCTACAAACAAGACTGCAGCATGGAGCAACTCAGGTAAAACCACATCTGGCATAATTACTTTGTATAAAGCTGCATATTACAGATGAAACAATGAACATAAATCTGTGTGTAAAAAAGGAAGACAGAAAAAGATGATTTTCGGTTGCCATATATTCCACAGGGAGCTGGCTGAGCGGCTGGCCGCTAAGTGGTCTGTTCTGCGGGGTTGCTCTGCTGCCGAATGTGTGAGGATCTATTTGACTGTGGCTCGCAAATGGCCCCTGTTTGGAGCCAAACTATTCAGTGCCAAAGTAAGTGTACTTCTACAGCCTTGAACGTGCTCTGTGAAATATAAATGCTGTTTTGATGGCTTTTTCAGGCTTATTTTAAAAGTGCCAATCACGTATCTTTTCCTTCCAATCTCTCACTCTTTTTCCTGTAGCCAGTGCCTCCCTCTGCGTTACAGCAGACACAAGTGTGGCTTGCTGTCAGCGAGGATGGGTTAAGTGTGTTAGATTACTCCATGGTGAGTGGAAACATGTTCACAAATAAAATGGAAATGCATGACTATTACCATTTATCATCACAGATGTTTAGCACACTCTACTGGAGGATGGGCGAATTGTTTTTTATGGCAGCACTTGCCATTCGTTTTCTGGCCTGTTCTTCAAGTTAAGAGTATTTAAGGTTAAGGCCTTTTTCTTGGCCCTGCAAACCTCCCAGAAACAGGCCTGCTGGTCTGGAATGATTTTCTGCAGCAGTGCTTCCAAAAGTTCCTTCTCTACAGAGTGGCCCAAATAGCCGCTTGTTGGCATGACTGATCTTCTCTGCTTGCAGAAATGCAGTCATTTAGAGCAGGAATAAACAGTGTCGGCATGACTCTGTAATTTGCTGCAGCTTTTACTCTTCCATTTTCGGTTTGGCTTAGGCCCATCCACTTGCCACTCTCAGCAGCTCCCTCTTTAAAATCTTTAAGAGACTGGAAACTCTGTCCATTTTCTTTATGCCAAAATGACATTTTAGAAATCAGAAATCAGTGCATGAATATTATTTTAGCTCTGCAGCACCCGTTCTTCTCTGGGTCATTTGACACCTATTGATGACTGCTCAGATATGTGCATATGTTTATTTGTATGTAGCACCTGTTGGTCACTTACCCATACCAGTCAGTGATCACCTTTGGAGGGTGCAAGGAGGACTTCATGGTGGTGGTCAGCCAGACTAAAGACCAGGCTTTGGGGAAGAGGACTGTGGACAAGCTTGTTTTCGCGATGGCTAAACCAAAGGTAAAAGATAAGATTGGTCATTAAATACATTTTAACTGTTCTGCCAATCAGCACTCTGCACTAAACCAGCTCATTCTGATATATCAGTTTCTTTAATCATAATTTTATGGGGTGGGAAAGAAAGTTAATCTACCATATGTGGGGGTGAACTCTGATGTTGAAAATCACTTAAAATCAAAAAATCAAAGCTACCCTCCTGCTCCTTCACTCAGCTTTGATATATCAGGCTGACAGATGCTTAAAACAGGTTTTCTTATACTGAGCGAGGTTTCAGATTCACTTTCTGGAACTGAGTCACCTCAAAGCCTTACAGCATTATATATGACACAGGAAGTGCTAACAAGCTCTTTGTGTTAGCAGCAACTGGACCTTTACCCTGTGGGGCTACAATTCTTTTGGCTAGTAATGTTGTGATGCCCAGGTGACACATATTATTTTTTAGATTCAATTTTCTCTCTGTTGTGATTGTTCAGATCTTAGAATTGACTCTGCTGATGGCCAGCTATATCAACTACTGGACGTCAGGCCTTCCAACAGCTGTGAATCAGACGCAGCCCTCCGCACTGGCGTCTCGAGGAGACAGGAAGCTGTGGGACATTGACAGCAGACACTTCCCCTCAATGACATACACAACCAAAGGCCCCACACTTTTGTGAGGGCTTAACAGTTCCGATAACAGACACTCCAAACATGTCCACAGGGTACTGAGAGAGCTAAAGCCGAAGATTTCCTCTGTCTTGCGTAAACACCCTCTGGTGGTCATCATGGTCTTTACGCAGTATTTGCAATTGCACAGACCTCAAACTTCTGAGTGGGGAGTGGGATGAAAAGCCAGAACATGAATTATTTTTGTCATTCATCACGTGAAAAGATCAAATACTTGCAAAAAAAGGACAAGCAGTCCTTTTATTTATAAGCTACACATTCCTTAGACCTTTACTGTGAGCCGCGCTGCGAGTGGGATTTCAGGGTCACGCAGCCCCTCTACTCCTAGCTTCCTCTCTTTCCTACCACTTCTCTACTCAATTAAGATGGAAAAGAGGTTTTGCCAGTGCCTGAAAAGGGAGAGTACAGACCACTAGCAAAGGTACTTTGCTTAAAATATTGGCCGAGGCATAAAGGAAGAAGACAGTATGTAAATCATTAATGCTTTTAACAAGGGCTTCTAGCTGGAGTTCTGTGCCCCTTTTTAAAATTCTGCTTTGATTTTCTTAGCTGATTTTCTTACCTCTGTTTTGCATTATTTTTTATTTTTAAGTTTTTTTGTTTTTTTTTGGTTGTCTATTTGAATAGTTTATTTACCCGAGTCTGTCTCAATATTTGTACCATTTCATGTACATTTCTACACCTTATATTTAAAATTTCAAGTACAAATAGTTATGTGGAGACAACTTTTTGATTAAAGTAGCATGGAAATTTTACAAAATTAAACCACAAAAATTTTGGGTCTGGATGACTGCAAACATTGGCACTTCTGTTCCCTTATAACTGAATTATTACCCATAATTAACTGAATTAATATTTAGTTAATTCAATTATTCTCACTGACATCAACTATTATTCTTATTTTTAAAAAAAAGAACATTACATTTTTAATTTTCATCCCTTAAAATGAAATGAAATGGAACAGACTCTGATGAACAGACTACTTTGGTTGCCATTCACCACTGTTACAACCATGCATTGGAAAATGTGGATTTTTTTCTGGTCAAGAAAGTACAGATCTATTATACAGCACAGTCACAAATCAAACATGTTTACACCTGTTTAAATCTGTAATGGCAACTGTTGACAGGGCTGTAGCATAGAATAATGGGACATATTACAACATGCTGCGCTGATATGAAGACTTTAAGAAGGAGACGTTGATCTTCTGATGTGCTTATGTAGAAATTAATCTGCAAAAGAGCTATCAAATTATTGAGTGACTTGAATTGTTCTATGGATCAAACCACTGTCTGAGTTTTAGGTATTTATTTTGTTTTCATAACATTGCTGCTTTTAGTGAAAAACAGCTTGCTTTTCTAAGCCAGTCCTTGCTGCGTTTTCTTGAGCAGTTCCAAGAAGCTAAGGAATAATGCCTTCTTTTTCTGCAAATAGGCTGTCCATAGACAGAAACTAAGAGCGCTGTGAAGGCATCAAATCTTTCATGCATAAATAATTTGTGTGTTGAAAATAAAAGGTACGTTGTTCTCATCTAATTGGATGTTCTTTCTTTTCTTGCTAAATTATTAAAATGCTAAGTTGATTAATAAAAGACCTATGTGGAATAATATAGTTTAAGTGAAATGGCTTAAACCTTCAGAGCATAGAAATGTAATGTTTTTTTTTTACGTGTGGTCATAGTTTCACAAGCAATTTAGAGATAATCATTTTAATGCATATTGTTGTATTACTTAAAATTACTTTTGCATTCTTAAAAGTGCACTTGCATTCTCTTATTACAGGAACAAGTACTTCTCAATTCACACACTTATTTTTGTACTTCTCCCTAATGGTGAAGAACAGATTATTGCATCTCTATGGATACGTAGCTGTTTGCTGCACATAAATGATATTAATGCAAGCCTTTTATAGAGAGAAACATTTTATGATCATACACAATTCATTCAGATCTCATTACTGTTGTATTCCATAATTAAGCAAATGTGTAAATAAATAAGTAAAAACAAATAAAAGAAGGATCAATACACACGCTGGCCAGCACACCAGTTTATGGCAAGGGTGGGATCCCTCTGCATGAAGCCAGGTCAAAGTGCTAATGGCATTTTCCTGCCAACGGCATGCTATAAATTCAACATTTTAAAATTAAATCAGGGAGGAAAAAAATCTCATTCTGAAGTAACACAGCAGTGTGGTTGTTGCTCTGCATGCCTGTCTCTATGTCCACTTTCATACAGGAAAAGAAACTATTTTATTGTGCATTGTGAAGAAGCAAAACTAGAGCAGCTTCTTGCGCAGTCTGGTAAAATCTCTCTGCATAATGTATTTTTGTTTTATGTTGACCTGTGATGTTAAATGACAGCTTTAAGTTTATGAGACATCAAACAAATAAGAAATGTTAAGCTTTGCTTTGTTTTATTAAAGGACGAGAGCCAGTTTCTCAAAATAGAAAGTCTTTTAGTGATGATATGGTAATTCCAGAGGATATCAGGCCTTTTATATGGCTGCTGTTTAGGTTAACCAGGTTGACTACTGCCTCATCTTTCATGGGTTTTAACTACATTAAACAGTTCCTAAAAATCCAAGAGTTTTCCACCCGATGAACTTAGTATGGTACTAAATTCACAATTTAACAGCAGCTTCCTGAAATGCTCAATTTTGAATTGTTCAGTTATTTTGCCACTGAGCATAGATTTACATCTGAGATAAATGTTGATCCAGGTTAGACAGGACATGTAAATGCAGGCATCTCAGTCGAGATGAGTGGGGCAATTCAGATTCTGTTTCAGTTGTCTAAAGTGATTAGGGCCTATGCAACAAATGCGCTATAACAGCAACATACAGCATATGATGTACAGTTAACTCATTAATGTCCACATCTGAATTTGTAAACTTATATTTTAATTCAATTAAACAATGTGGCTAAAAAGTACGTTTTTATCCATTTCTTAAGAAATTTAGTCGTTTGGTTACATGAATGTGGCTGGGCCATTTTGTCAAGTACTGTTAATTGTTAATACAAGATTTAACTGTACAAAATTGTTTTATTTGGACCAATTAGAATGGGTGGGATTTTTCGTTATACTAAACTTGGGATAGTTTGGGTTTAATGGGATAGTTTGGGTTTAATAAACACGAGAGAAAAGTGCCTTCCTGCAAATTCTTTAATTCTTTGTTCACCATGTTGATACAGTCCAAGTGCAACACAAACATTAGCTAATGATTTGGCTTTACAGAAGCAGTGAAAACGTAACTGCGCGCGCCACGCGCCAAATGACTTGTGGCTCAGTAGCTGATAACGGCCGGAAAATACATTTCTCACGAAAAACAAAAAAAAAAAACTTAACTGCAACTTGATAACAAAAACGGTTTTTCTAAGGATACGATGGTAACGTACATACATTTCCTCACAGAAGCAACCGCGGTCAGTTCACTCTTAAATAAGTGACTCGAGCCGTCGTTCAGTTAAAATGCTGAAGGCTAACGTTTACGCTACATGTTTTAACTTTTAGCCAATAGGCTAAAAAATAGCCTAAAAATGAACGTCAATGTTAGTATGCAGACTGACATCCTCCGCCCAAATTAACACAAAATAGTTTTAAAACCAGTCTCCCGCTTTTTTCAAACTAGCATTTAATGTCAGCTTAACGCAAATAGCCTCGACCGTTATTAGCCTTACCCACAAAGCCTTTTACTTATTGGACGATTATAGCGTTACCTTCAGTTTTATCGTGCAACTGTCAAAACAACCTGATTTACCTCGACAAAATGGATGTCATAAGGTAAGAAATAGTATTCACGGTGTGGATATTTTTCCTCAAATCAACTGTATGTGTAAAAACATGGTTCTGTAAATGTCTTATCGTAAATGATTAGAGCTTTTAGCTCGTATATTTGCTGCCTGGTCCTTCTGCTGCTGATCTGTCACGTCCAGCAATCGATATCTTCCTCTGTAACGTTAGTTAAAATTAAACTCCAGGCACTAGGTTAGGAGTGTGCTGGGTTAGACAGAGACTGGACCTCCGGGCTTCTGAGCAGCTGAAACTCGGAACGAGACCTGAGAAGCTTCCTGCACACACGGCGTGTGGTGTTCACTTCACCAGCACAGCCCAAGATCAGGTAACCCTGCGTAAAACTCACAAATATGAAACTGAAATACTGAAAACTCGACTCATCTCAGTGTTTTAAAAAGACACACACATAGCCTGTTAATATTAACTATTTGTATTCAGGTTAAAGTACAACTAAAACAGTCAGTTTGTTTAAAACTCTGGATTTGGATGTGTGGACCTATAGGTTAGTCTGCCTATTAAGTTTCGCTGTTTTCCCCGCTTGAACAGATCGATCATGAGCCCCACTAAAAAGAGTTTGCTACGGGAGGCATCTCATCAGATCATTGCTGGTGGATCTGCAGGTAGGTGGTTGAGAAGAAGCAGCTTTCCGTTCAGTAGAGAGTTTAGTACAGTGTTTAGCGAGCTAAGGCTGAGTTAGCCTGCATGCCTGCCTGAGTCCTCCAGCAGCGCAGTCCAGACATTTCACCGAGAAAACTCGGACACTCTTCATAACTGTTGGTTGGGCGTGAATGTCGGCGATTAAAAAGATATTTTAATGTGTAGTTTTAAGCCAAGGCCGTGTGAACATGTATTTTAAAACAGCAAATTTGCTAAAAATGAGTAGCCTCTGGACCGGATGGTCTGAGCACTGTCTTCGGAAAACACGGCGCACTAAGAAGTAGTTCCGCTATGTAAATGTTCCTTTGGAGAAATCACGTTTGGTAGACGTCAGAAAGTGCTTAGACTAATGTATTATTAAAGGGAGTCAGTCTGCTTTTTACATTCGGAGCATCTGCAGTCCTTCTGTTATATCTGCATGTTTCTATTGCCAGACCCGGTCATTCTCGTCTCAAGCACCTGATTAAACGTGCTACTTCATTAAGGAGAACATTGGAGCACAAATAAGCAGAGCTTAAAGTTCCCAATGACCCACTGGGCTAAAAAACGTGTTGAAGGCTGCTAGGATTTTGATATGAGCATTGCTTTCAGGGCAGTTCCTATATCTTGTTCTCAGAGAAACATTTTTATTCAGTGATGATAAAATTATGGTTTTGATATCCATTGTTTACAGACTTGTGCTAAAAAGAAAGTGGGGAAAAATTCAGTGACCACATAAAAGCACTGAGGTTGTTGGCAGAATTTTGCATCTGGAGCAATTTGGTATGGGCAGCATGTCGCCGACCTCTTTCTTGAACTGCACAGGGAATCATGTTGTGGAATCGTAGGTTTGTGAAATTTAAAAATCTGAACATTTCTCTAACTGCAGCTGAGTGTGGATCGAATGTTTGGCTTTCTTCAAAAATAAACCATCCAAATGATTACACTGTTCCTTAGAGTTTTAGTGATGTAAGAATAAATCATGTCAGTGAGTTGACAGTTTTTTTTCTTTTTAATACTGAATTCTATTACTAAATAAGACTGGAATTTTTTTCAGAAACCACATAATAGCTTATATAATTAATACGCTTAATTAATTTGCTTCTGTAAATCCCATTTGTGTAGGCCATTATTCATTTGTTTTTCACTTGTTGCTGACAAAGCTGATTACTCACCTTGATTACGTTTGTACATTACAGCTTTAGGGAAATGTTTCTACAGTACACAGATGATGTGGATACTGGAGACATGCAAGATCTTGTTTTATTTCCTTACATATATGTTTTTTTCTTCATTTAAGTTGCAGTACCTAAATTTAAAAATAAAAATTGCTGACAAAATTGACGTGAGCATAAGGATAGCTGTGCTCTGAGTTTAAGTGTTTCTTAAGAATGCTAACAGGCTAATTAGGCTAATTAGTTCTCTATCATATGCACACTCTGTAGTAGTCAAATAGTCTTAATATTATACCAGTATGGATATTTTAAGCAGTTATTTTCTGATACAAACATGGTAGCGTTATTTTTATGCTGCTTGATGCAGTGGCATTTCAGAGAGTTTGAATGATAGTTTTATTTTGGCGATTGAAAACAAAATTCGCTAGAAATGAATAGATGAATTACAGTTTTTGAAATCCGTGTCAGTTCATTTCTTGATCTTTTTGCTGAAGTGAAATTGAATGGACCCAACTGTAATATGTATTTGGCCCTTTGCAAGTATTCAGCAATCTCATAAAATGTGCTATAATTTTTACCACGAAAACACTGCAATAGGACTTGTGAAGGCTTTGCTTACATCTTGTATAGACACTCTGTTTCACAAGGCCTGCTTCCATAAAATCTTACTCTCTAATCTAATTCCGTCTCTCTAAAATCATGCCAGTTCTACTTCATGCTCTTATGTAGGCTGCATGTAGTCCTGTGCTCTCCATTTTCCTGTTATGATTAAATGTTTGTAAACAGAGACTAGAAATCGCCAGCGACGATAAATGGTATATTTTCTTAAAGCTCCAGTGTAACTTAAGTAAGGACGACTGTTCCTACCTTAGCTATTATGGTGTCCTTCGTGAACTCTGCACTGTAGTCATATTTAGAGGTCATCTGGGACTATGGAGTTCTCTCTCTATCTGTCTCTCTCTCTCTCTCTGCGGACAGTTTGTAAGATTTTATTAGGCTGCCTGAGTGCAGTCGTGGCTTCTCCTGTAGAATGATCTACCCTCAGTTCATGTGTACGTTCTCCTGTTCTGGTCGCATTCCCCGTAAAACCCCAGTTAATGGGGCTTGGTTCAGTTGTGTGTCCTGGTCATGGGGCTGGGCTGGGTGTAAGTGTAATTTTCTTCAAGGCTGCCATTGTTAGGGTTTCCTTGCTGAGCTGCCAGTCACTGTGACCTTTAGATGGATGCTTGTGTTGGTTACTGATCTTTATTTCATCCATCTAAAAACCAAATTCCTTTGGAGATGGTATTTTCTTTCACATTACTTATAGGGATGGAACAGATTCCACACAGATGTTTGATTTGTGTGACCCCATTGCAGCATTTTATATTTATCCATGACATCAGGTCAGTGTTTCATCACATTCGGCCTTTTGCCACAAGGTGGAAGCATTGTATCTTTTAATTTTAGGCTACATGCTCAACCAGTAAGCTCATTCTCACTTTGGGTAACTTTTAGTGCTTGTTGATGAGACAGCTATTTCAGTATCTTTCAGATAAGCTCATGAAATTTTGTTAGTAATTTAGCCTAGTTGCCTAAACTAAAACGCTCAATTGTTATTAATCTGTTCTTAATTGTAAATGTTTATTACATGCCATCATATGTTGGTTCAGCCTTAGTTACACGAGCTCACGTGAAGTTAAGAAGATAAAGTTTCAGTTCTATTATTCATTCTGTTATTACTGTTGTTGTTGTTTGTTGCTGCTGCTGCTAAACATTTATTTATTTTTAAATAAATAATACTGTAATTGACAACCTGTCCAATAAATTAGGTAACATCTTTTTAACGTACCAGATCCCTTCAACAGATATGTACATTTTATGTTTTGAGTGAAAAATTACAAATTTTTGTTCTGTGTAGTTTTTTTCTTCATCAAAGAGAAACTAGTTTCCATTGAACCAATTATCTCAGTCATTACCAGAATGTCAGGAAAAACTGTCAGATGTAACCTTAAGTGTTTTTGGTATTGATTTCCTCTCTACTTCCCTGTTGCGCCATGTAATTTGGTAAGATTTACACAGAAATGTTTAAGTTATGATTAGTTTCTGTGTAAACGTATCCGCTGACTGCAAATGGAGTGTGTCGAGAAAAGACAGACAGCCTAAGTATGATTGAACTCAGTCCACTTGTCTGCAGCAGACTGTCAGGCCTGCACTTAAAATGCACTCAGACTTCACTAATTGTAATGGTCTTAAACTGTGAAACAAGGTTTAGGCAACATCGAACAAATAAATCCACTTATTTGGACTAAGGCAGGAAGAAAAAAGTGCCTAAAAGAAGATCAAATAAATGTAGGCGAAGGGAACAGGCGACTCAGGGAAGGATTATTCTCTGACATGAGATATCTGCTCCAAATGAGCGTTTCCTCTCAGAGCCACAATTGGCTGCCATAATCAGAGCTGAATTAGGCCTAATATTTATTTCCAGAAACAATTGTACATGCTTTAGAAGGGCTTTGATTAAGCTCTGCATAGCCATGTTGTAGACAGATGTTTAAATGACCTCATGTTTGAAGTAATGTTGATTTTGGAAGAATACTTCACTGTGTCTCTTCTAAATCTGCTCCCACCTCTTCCATGTCACAGTTTGGGATAATCCCTTATGCATGCGATTTGACTTACTGAGAAGCTTTGCATTACTTTTACATCAAGCTACTGTTCTATATAGACACAGGAGTGGACAGAAAGAATAAGCTTCTTTATTTCATGAGTTTTTGCAATATACATTGAAGTGGTAGGGTAATAATTTTCCTATTTTTATGAATTTGACTTTTATAATTAAGTAACTAAGATAATAACATAATTTTTGCATATCACATGCTCTCTTGTTTGCATATTAAAAGCTGACCTTGAGATTGGAGGCTCTCAAGTAAACCACAGCAAACACTGCAAAAACAAACAGAGGAGATTTATTGACCACTGTGACTAATTACACATGAGGAAATGTGCAGGATCATGATGTCACAAGAAATCAGTTGACTGCAACCAGGCATAAAGCATAATGGTAACACACAGCAAGGGGCTTAGCCTCTAAAAGCTATACAGATTGTATGGTTCTGCCTGCCTCTAGATTCCATAAACCATGACAGCGGTGGGATTTTTATATAAATGGCAACAAAATACAGTATGAGAAAGTAGTTAATATTAATTGTTAATAATAAAAAAATTATAGTTATTATTGATAAAAATCCTATCAAAATTATTCTGCCAATGAGTGTAGTTCATTAACAGTAGGCTTTACAAAATTGCAACATTACAACATTGCCATATAACATTATGGTTAAAAGATTTTCCATGAACAGTTTGGGGTCTTTATAATACCTCGCCACGTTAATAAAGAATTGTGTATATTGAGTATTTTCCAGTGTTCTTGGCTGTAGCTCAGCCAGTCGTATTTCAGCACTACAGCTATCCGTTTCTTAATCTGTGAATAGTGGTGTATCCTGTTAGATTACTTCGATGCCACCCCTTGTCTAGTGGGGAGGGACTGTTGTTAAACTGCTGTAGGATTGTGCTGGGTTGGGAAACATTCCTATTGGATTAGCTCTGTGTCAGAGATTAGCCTTTTATCTGAGCTGATGGGGCTTTATTCTGCCTGTGTAATGTATGAGCTGGTCAGAGGCTGCTGACGTTATCTTAATGACGTGATTTATGGCACTTGTTGACCTAGTGGACCAGGACAAACGCGCGTGGGAGACATCTCTATTGTAGGCTGTGTAGGAATTGAAGACATTTATGCACACACACAAGCACACATATTCATCCAATCC